CACCCCCACACGTCCACCTCACTCCCCTCCCACGGCACCGGCACCTCACAGACGTGATCTCATCCAGCCGCCGGACCCGGGGGAGGTGGGGCGGGGTGGGGGGAGGGGGCCGGCGGCCTTCGCAGCATTGGGCCCCTCTTTGTTCCAAGCAGCTGGGAGAAACTGAGGCCGGCGGTAGGTGGGAGGTGAGGGATGGCTGTGAACTCCGGCCGGAGAGGCTGGGAGCCATCCTCCTCCTCATCCTCGTCCCTGAGCCCTGGGGCCCGACCCCCTCCCGTCCACTGTGGGACCCTCCTGTCTCCTGAGAGACCTCTGTGGCGGTGGGGGCCGGGCCACAGCCCTGGCCGGCTCCACAGCGCCCTGGCCTCCCAGTGACTCGGGGTCCCGCGGGGACGAGCCCAGGCCTGTCTGCATCCAGAGCCCGCGATCCCCTCTGCTCTCTCGCCAAATGGCCGTTAATGGCTTCTCCCAGCTACTGAACCGGCAGCTGCCTCCAGCCTGGCGGCCTCCCGCTCCTCCCGGGGCCGCCGCCCCGCCCATCCTGGCCGCCCGCGCTCCGCGCGCTTGCGCCTCTGCTGGCGGCGGGAGCCTGGCGGCTCGGGTTTCGGGCTGTTTGTGGAGAGCGCGGCGCTCAGCCTGCCCGTGTGGGCCTTACACCCCCGCAGCCGCCCGGCCCTGGTCTGCCCTTCCCGCCAGTCTGACCCACGGCCTTGCAGGTGGCCGCAGGGTGCACTGGGTGTGACCGCAGAGTGCCCCTCGGTGCCCCTGCCCGGCTCCACCTCCGAGCCAGGCCTGCGGTGCTGGGTGGGGAGGCACGCCCTCCTCCCCCCACCGCTGCGGCCCCCGCCCGCCCCGCGCTGCATCCTTCCTCGGAGAGAGGACTCCCGGGCGGGGGGCAGTGAGGAGCGTGTGGTGGCCGAAGTAGCTGTCCCTTAAGAGAGATGTAGTCAGTGTCCAGGGACAGTCCCAGGTCTCTCAGTGCTGGGCCCGTGCGGCTGCTGGCAGGTGGAGGTTGGGCCGATTCAGAGCCACGGTGTGTGGGTGGTGGAGGAGACCCCGCCTGCTGCCGTGTGCCCGCGTGGAGCCAGCTTCCCTGGCAGCAGGAACCCAGGGGGGCAGGTGTGTGGAAGAGTGGAGGTGTGGCTGCTGGCTTGTTGGAGGGCAGGTTCTGTGGGGAAGGGGGGGGGGTTGTGGCTGCGGATCGGGCTGGGGCCAGGGGCTGCGGGCCACAGGTAGGGGCTGGCTGTGTGCAGGCAGTGCCTGGGGCTGCGGTGAGTCCTCCGGAGTAAGATCCTGGAGCTCGCTGTAGAGGAGCTCTGGGGACCGACTTGAAGCAGGCAGCAGCTCTGTCCTTGAATAGTGGGTCTCGGAATGGAGTCTCCACCACCCGGCCGGGGGCCCCGAGCCTGGGCCCACACCCAGCACTCCGGAGGGGTTTCTGGGAGCCCTGCCGGCAGGTTGTGGCCCCACGTGGGACTGCCCACTGCACCCTGATCAGCCCCAGGGGAGGGGCGGGTGGGTGGGGGTCTGGGGTATCCGAAGACATGGGAGCTAGGGCGGCTTTGGTGCCCCTCCCCATCCCGTGGGCCCCATAGAGGCACTGGCAGGGGGCCAGGCAGGGGGCTGGAGGGGTCCCGTGCCAGCACGTGACTGATGGCTCGGGTGGGCCTGGCCCGCAGCACGTTCAAGAGGGACGGGCAGAGGGAGGTGATGGTGTTTGGGGTCGGCGTCTGCGCAGGTGCCCTGCTGCCTGGGTTGCCAAATGTAAGTGGTAGTCTGATGGAGGAGGTTTGGGAAGGTGGCTCTGGGCTCCCCGCCTGGTCCCCCGGGCCTGGCCAGCTGGTCTGTGGGCTCTGCTGCTGGCCCTGTCGCCTGCTGGGGTCTCCTCACCTGGCTTTGGCCAGGTAGGGCCTGGCTTTCTCCCGTTTGGTGTGTGAACCAGGACTCCTCCTCCTGGAACCGTTGATGGGTTCCAGCGCAGCAGGTGAGCCTGGGGCACACGGCCCGGCCTCCTGTGCCCAGTCCTCTGACAGATTAAACACCGTGGAGGAGCAGGGAGAGGCCGAGGCTCAGGAAGGCTGAGCGGTGCTTGGAGACAGGCTGCAGCTTCGTGCAGGGGGAGCAGAGCGAACACTGCCGGCATTGTAATCGGAGAGGGGCAGGGGAAAAGAGAGAGCTTGAGCGAGGGCGGCTGACCCCAGGCTCCCAGGGGACAGGTGGGAGAGGCAGAACGAGGAGAGAGTGAAGGATTCCAGAGGTGGGCCGGCTTCCTCTCTCGCAGACAGACACGGGAGGGAGGTGGGCAGCCGGCCAGCGCCCTACCTGCACTTCCAATCTGCGGTCCTGACAGCTGCAGCCACTTTGGGGAGGGGGAGGGGAGGGGCTCCTTGAGAGCGGAAAAATCCCAGCCGACAGTTGTTGCTTGCCGCTTATGTCCGGTGCAGTCTGGGGGGTGGGGTCCCCTGCTGGCCTCATCCCGCAGGCTTGTGCTTGGGGCAGAGAGGCCCCCCGGGAGAGCACGAGGGTGTCTGTGTCCTCAGTCTGCGCTCCGAGCTCGGTGCCTGACCTGGAGGGGTCGGTAGGTGCTTGCCCCCATGGGGTCACATGTGCTTCCTGGCAGCCCACAGGTGCTGAGCAGGGTGGGGGCCGGCTGGCCTGCGGGCTGAGGCCTGGTGATGAATCATGTGGTGCCGCCAGCAGCTCATTCCCCAGGCCGGGGACAGGGAGCTGACAGCCGGGGCCGATCAGAGTGTTTCCAGCCCAGCTTGGCCCACAGAGGCGGCTGCCGGCCCAGGGCGCGGGCTCGGCCCCTCCTTTTCAGCTGCCTCTGGGGCGCACACGCGAGGAGCCCAGGTCTTTGTCCCTCTCCGTGGAAGGGGAGGATGGCCTTCTGGGAGGGAGGCAGGGCCTGCCATGGGCAGAGAGCACCTGCCACCCCAGCCCAACCTCTGTAGTCGCCCAGTGGACAACTCCATGGGGCTGCTGGGCTCAGGCTCTGGCTGCCACCCCCCCCCCCCCCCCCCCCCCCCCCCCCCCCCCCCCCGTCTGGTTTGAATTTCTGGAGCAGTGAAGGGTGACGGAGCGCTCCTCCCCCGCCCCTCCGCTTTCTCCTGTTGGCTGGCGGGCCAGGCCCTTACCGCCGCCGCCGCTGCTACCGGTGCAGCTTGGGGAGCACCGGGCGTGCTGCCCAGGCCTGAGTCGGCCAAGCTGCAGCCACTGTTGGAGCCACAGGCCCGGCCATGGAGAACTGTGCGCCCCATGCCCCAGTGGGCCAAGTCTCTGGGGACCATCCCAGTGGCCTATCTTCTCCCAGTTTTCCAGATTCGCAAGACCCCCTGCAGGGGCCTCATGACACCCCATCAGCCCTGGGGCTCAAGGGGTCTCCTCCGTTTGCACTCTCCCCTCAGCCATGTGCGTGCGTGCTGCCTGTCTGTCTGCAGCTCCTGTTGCACTGCTCTGTGACCACAAGGTGGGCGCCCACTCGGGTACTCAGCATCGTAGGGGGCTTCCTGAGGGGAGTCTGCAGCCCCCATCCAGGCTCAGGTGCTGAGATGTGATTTTAGTCCAGGAGGGGCAGGTGGACCATGCCCCCCAACCCTGCCCCCACAGAACTGGGCCCGGTGCCCAGTGAAGCGGGGGTGGGGGGCAGGCGCAGAGGTCCTGGGGGTACACCCGCCTCCCTGGATGCTTCCCTTCTCCCTCAGGCCCCGCCTGGGAGGAGGGGGATTCCTTTCTCAGCCCCCATCTGGACCCCCATGTCTCCGGCCTGGGTCCTGGCTCCCCAGGCAGGCGGGCAGGGTGGGGGCTTCTGCAGTGACCCAGCTTGCCCTCTCCCTCCTTCCTCTGGCCAGCTGTAGGCTCCTGCAGGATTAAGGAAAGGAAATTTGGGGTTGGGTTTCTCTCTGAATGGAACCTGCCGTGGCGACTTTTTATCCCGTTATATTTCTATCACGTTGGACGCAGCCCCCCTCTAGCCCTTAATGGCTCTGGCTTTGAGAATTTCCTCCAAAATTACTCCACCACTTCCTGCTTTGCAGTTCCCCGGAGCCCCTCCGTGCAGAGGAGGGGGGCAGCTCTGGCCCTACCCTGTTGGGGTGCCCACGTGGGGCTCAGCACCTGGCCGCTCCCTAGGGCCCAGGAGAGCGTGTCAGTGGGGGCCCCTGAGCCTGTGCTGAGGGCCGGGAAGGCCCAGGGCCAGCACCTGGCGCCCTCGGCCATTCCCTACCCGGTCTGGCCGGAAGTCAGGCTGCTGGCCCGCCTGGCCAGCGTGGGGGAGGTGGCTCATGGAGGGCCACCCCCTGCCTTTCTTCTGTGTTATGCCAGCAGAGCTCGAGCCACTAAACCGTAATTGTCACCTGCAGGATTTTAATGGTCAGCCAGCTGTGCACAGCTCGGGGAGGGGGCCTGAAGTTGCTCTCCTCACAGGCAGGTGGGGCCTTTGGAGGAGCTCGGTGGGGCAGAGCGGTAGGCGGCCAGGGCTCCTTCCCTCGTGAGCAGTGCTGCACGCGGCTGAGTGCAGGGCAGCCGTGGGCGCCCCGGGTGGGTACAGGTGGGTGCCATCTGGCCTGCACCCGTAGGCCCACCCAGGCCCGGAAACCCGCTCCAGTCGCGGTGACCCTCACTCAGCCTCTCCCAGGTGTCCGTTTCTTGGGTTTCTGTGGGCAGAGGCGGAGGCCCCAAGGTTTGGCATGATTGTGCTGCCGGCTCTGGCCTCCTCACCCCTGCAGGGAGGCCTGGGCGCCAGGCAGGCCCTGGGAGTGGACGCTGGACTGCTTGGTCCCCCGCCATGTGGCAGTGGGCTCCCTCTCTCCTTTCCTAGCCTTGCTCGCTCTCACCTGTCTCCTTCAGCTGCCAGGACGGGAGGTGCCTCACTCTGCTCAGGCCTGGGAGGGAAGGCCCAGCCCCTGGGAAGTGGCGCCTCTGGGCCCAGGGAGGATGGAGCGCGAAGAGACCGCCCTGAGGGCTGGGAGTGGGTCTTCCAGAGAACAGTACTTCCGTGGTTGGACGATATTGTTTTGTTTTTAATTATACAAAGTTTCCAGACTTTATATTATCATATCAAAGACACAAAATACCAGCACGTAGTGACCAGAAGAAAACCCAGGTAGGAAGCCAGCACAGAAGGTTCCAGTGGACCTGGGCCAGCTGGGGCCAGTGCAGAGTCCTGCCGCCGCCTGTCCGTCCACTGGCCCCACCAGAGCCAGAGGTGCCCTCACAGGAGGACTGGGCCTGAGTCGGGTCCATGGCGGGGGTGGGGTGGGGGTGGGGTTCCTCCGTGGAGAGCCCAGCGGCGTCCACCTCTAACTGCGAATCGTAGTCTTTCTGTCTCGGTCCTTGCTCTGCAGAGGGGAGGGGACAGTGTCAGGGCCTGGGCGGAGACCCCGCGCCAGCCCACGCCTCTGGGCTCCCCCACTGGGTGCTGTCTCAGGTGGCGGGTGCTGAAAGCACCCCCTTCCACGCTCACCCCGGCTTCCCCGTGCACTTTGGGGAGGAGAGCACACTGCTGCACAGCCGAAATTGTAAAATTAAATTTCCCAGATGTTCAGGCCCCAGGAGCTCACGCGTGCTGTCTGGAGAGGAAATGGGGATCGGGAAAAGCCGCGCCGCGTTTTCTCCCTGCTCACCCTGCTTTTCCGGTGCCACCGAGCGCAGCAGGAGCTGTAAATCACAGCCGGCCGGCGCTCCCGCAGCGCGGCCCTCTCCCCCAGCCTGTCTGCAGACCCCGCAGACACATGGGGGTCTGAGTGGGCAGCCCAGGGGCATCGGCCAGGGCCAGGGGAGAGCCAGCAGGTGCCTGTAAGCTTTAGCCCAGTGCCAGGGGCTGTGGCAGGGCAAATGGATTAGGGCGGGGGTGGTGTCCCCTTCCTTTGGGGACAGGGTGGGTGGCCAGAGCTGCTTGAACTCCGGTCTGGTCCCCCAGCCTCTGCCAGTTTTAGTGTCCTCCCTGCTTCACAGACCCCCACCTGGCCCTGGGTGGCCCTCTTTAGCCCCCATGGGAACCTGTGTCCCTGGGGGTAAGGCTCGCCTGTCCCGGCTGGGCGCTTGCTGTACCGCCCTCCCTGGGCCCCTGGGGGCACACTAGGTCACAGGTGCAGAGGGGGCATGCAGGGGTCTCTGCCTGCCTCTGGCCCCACTCTCCGCCCAGCAGGTGTGGGTAGCTAGGGTGACACGGAGGCAGAGGCCACCATATCCTCCTTGCCTCTCCTTCCACGGAGGCCCAGTGGGTGACACTCACCAACTTTCTCTGGTTGCTGAGGCAGAAGGTACAGATCTGTTTGGGCTGGGCGTTCTCTCCGTCGCGCGCGGGGGGCGGCGGGGGCGGCGGCGGGGGGCTGCCGGGGCGAGCAGCGTGGAAGAAGGCAGGCCCCGAGTGGCACGGCTGCCCGTCGCCGCAGGCCTCGCCCACCAGCAGCACGTTGCCCAGGTGCGAGATGTAGCTGGAGGCCAGGCGCAGCGTCTCGATCTTGGAGAGCTTGCGGTCGGCCGGCTCCGTGGGGATGAGCGTGCGCAGCGCCGTGAAGGCCGTGTTCACGCTGTTGGTGCGGTCCCGCTCGCGTGCGTTCGCCGTGTGCCGCTGCCGGGGCTCGCGGCCCGGCCGCCCCCCGGGCCCCGGGCCGCCGCCCCCCGCCCGCCTGCCCCCGGCCCGCCTCCGGGCGCCCTGGAGGCCGCAGCGCGCCGCGTGCACGCGGCAGGGCTTCTCTTCGGAGCCCGAGCTCTCGCTGCCGCGGTCCTCGTCGTCCGACAGCGGGCTCACCTCGGGGTACAGGTAGCGGCCGGGCGGCGCCGAGCGCAGCATGGCGAAGGACATGGGGCCGGCGGGCGCGCCGTCAGCTCCGCCTTGCGCGGCGCATGCCGCCAGCCGCGCGGCCGCCCGGGGGCCGGGGAGGCGCGGGTCTCGGTGGCCCGCGGTGGCGGCTGCGGCGCCGCGCGCACGTGTGCGTCCCGGGCTGGAGCTGAGCCTCGGGCCGGGCCTTTATAGTGGCGGCGGCCCCTCCCCCGCGCCGGCCCGCCCTCCTCCCCGCCTCCCAGCCCCCGGAGGCAGCTCGGAGCAGGGGCCCTCGTCCCTCTGCCTCCTCGCCGCCCGCCGCTGCCACGCTGAAGAAGCCTGGGGCATCTCGCGGTCTCTAGGGCTTGCGGGGAAATGGGAATCCCCTAATGGCTGGTACAGGGCGCTGCAGCTCCCTCCCTCTCCCTCAGCGGGGGTGGGCCAGGAGGGTCGAGCGGGACCCGCGACCCAGGCTGGTCTGCTCCCCTGGCACAATCAAGTTAACTCAGATGCCCTGGCCCTGGTGCCTGGCCACACCCTGTTTGTCGGTCTCTCCTGTGTACACTTGGGCCTTTTGTGCCAGGCAGAGTGGGGAAGGGGTGCGGAGGAGCCCTGAGGGGTGAAGTTGTGTGTGGGGTCACCCCTGGGGGCACAGCCTTCTGGTGTCAGCTGGACCCTCTGCCTGGGACCCTCCTCTTTCCCAGCTCCTGCCTGTACTCGTGCTCTGGCAACCCCCCCCCTTCCCTTCCTGCATATTCCAGGATCTGTTCAATTCGGGGATGGCTGCATGGACTGGAATTGGGCCTGTATAGACTGGAAGTCGTCCCCCCCCCTCCCCCCCCCGCAATCCTGTGCAGAGGACGGGGCACAAGGGATGTGCCTGGGACGGGCTTGCTGGGAGGGGAGCACAGAAGTTGGCAGGTCTGGGTGGGCAGGTGCAGATGGGCAGAGCCCAGGGGGTCCTGTGCTGTAAGGGGACCTCGGGCTCCCTGCTGTGCTCAGTCTCATCTGGGCCCCTCCCCCTGTGGCCACTGTTCAGGAAGCGGCCGCCTGGGCAGCAGTCTCCGTGCTGGGTGGAGGGAGGGTGGTGGCTGGCAGGGGCCTCGACCAGGAATGTGTGTCCAGGAATGTGGCTGTTCTGGGGTGGGGGGCGGGGCCAGGGAGGGCTGAGGGGGTCCCTGCACGTCTGCAGGGCAGAGACAGTGGATTTGTCCTCCCCTTGGAGCGGGTCGTGGGGTCTGCCCTGAGTCCCTGCCCGTGGCTACCCGTTTCTGCCTAAGGCCCCCGCCAGGGGAGGGAGCCCATGGGCGATGAGGTCACCCTTGTCTGTGGCTGCCCAGAGTCCTGGCCAAGGAATCCAGGGGGGAGGCGCTGGGGTTGGCACCACTTCAGTGGAAAATGTGAAGGTACAGCTCCGGCGCCTCTGAGGGCCAGTTAGGGGGGCAGTGGGGGACAGCACTGGCCGCGGTGCCACGTCACACCCCGGGGAGAGGGCATGTGTCAGGGTGCCTGGGGACTGTCCCACCGGCCTCCTTGGGGACCCACCCGTGCCTGTGACTTCGGGAGCCTGAAGGGAGGGGTAGACACAGTGGGTGCCTGCTGCCGACGCGCTGGCCTGCTGCCCCCAGGACATCCGGAACACGGTGGGCAATGTGCCCCTGGAGTGGTACGATGACTTCCCCCACGTGGGCTATGACCTGGACGGCAGGCGCATCTACAAGCCCCTGCGCACCCGTGACGAGCTGGACCAGTTCCTGGACAAAATGGACAATCCTGATTACTGGTGAGCAGGCTGGGGGCAGGGCCTGTGGGGGCAGGGCGGGTGGCTCTGAGCTTGGCTCTGATGGGCAGCTCCCCAGGCGCACGGTGCAGGACCGGACGACGGGTCACGACATGCGGCTGACCGATGAGCAGGTGGCCCTGGTGCGGCGGCTGCAGAGCGGCCAGTTCGGGGACGTGAGCTTCGATCCGTACGAGGTAGGTGGCCGCGGCGCGCCCTGGGTGTCTGGGGGTGGCTGCGGGGCCTTGGCCCTCACGCCTGTGCTTCTTCCTCCAGCCGGCTGTGGACTTCTTCAGCGGGGACCCGATGGTCCACCCGGTGACGAACCGCCCCGCAGACAAGCGCAGCTTCATCCCGTCCCTGGTGGAGAAGGAGAAGGTGGGTGCAGCCCTGTCTGTCCGGGCCGTGCACCACCTCCCCCCCCCCCCCCCCCCCCCCCCCCCGCGCTGACCTGGGCTGCCCTTGCAGGTCTCTCGCATGGTGCACGCCATCAAGATGGGCTGGATCCAGCCTCGCCGGCCCCGGGACCCCACCCCTAGCTTCTATGACCTCTGGGCGCAGGAGGACCCTGACGCGGTGCTGGGCCGACACAAGATGCACGTGCCCGCTCCCAAGCTGGCTCTGCCCGGCCACGCGGAGTCCTACAACCCACCCCCAGAGTACCTGCTCGGCGAAGACGAGGTGGGCCTTTGCGCCTCGGTGGGGCCCTGGTCCCCGTCTCTGGCCCCAGCCCCCAGCTCACCCCTGTCTCCGCAGCGTCTGGCGTGGGAGCAGCAGGAGCCGGGCGAGAGGAGACTCAGCTTCCTGCCGCACAGGTTCCCAAGCCTGCGGGCCGTACCCGCGTACGGCCGCTTCATCCAGGAACGGTTTGAGCGCTGCCTTGATCTCTACCTGTGCCCACGGCAGCGCAAGATGAGGGTACGTGGCGGGGGGAGGGGGAGGGGACGCGCCTGGGCAGGGGCACAGGATGTGGGGATGGGGTGACTTTCTGCTCTCCTATCCCAGGTGAACGTGGACCCGGAAGACCTCATCCCTAGACTGCCGCGGCCCCGGGACCTGCAGCCTTTCCCCACGTGCCAGGCCCTGGTAGGCGGTCGGGGTGGTGGAGGGGGAGGCACGTGGGCGGGGCGGTCCATCTCCTCACTCCTCCTCCTCCGTAGGTCTACAGGGGCCACAGCGACCTTGTCCGCTGCCTTAGTGTCTCCCCGGAGGGCCAGTGGCTGGCTTCAGGTGAGGCTGAGGTGGGGGCATCCCCAGCTTGGGGGGTTGGGTGGGGTGGGAGGGCCAGGTGGCAGAGGCCTCGTTTGCTGTGTCCAGGCTCCGATGATGGCTCGCTGCGGCTCTGGGAGGTGGCCACCGCGCGCTGCATGAGGACTGTGCCCGTGGGGGGCGTGGTGAGGAGCGTCGCCTGGAACCCTCACCCTGCCCTCTGCCTGGTGGCCGTGGCAGTGTAAGTGTGAGGCCCTGAGGGGCGCTGGGGGCGGTGGACGCAGGCCTGAGCCTCAGGGGTTGCATGTCCCTCTGGCCTGCAGTGAGGACTCGGTGCTGCTGCTGAACCCGGCCCTGGGGGACCGGCTGGTGGCGGGCAGCACGGACCAGCTGCTGAGCACCTTCGCCCCCCCCGAGGAGCCTGCCGTGCAGCCGGCCCGCTGGCTGGAGGCCTCGGAGGAGGAGCGCCAGAGGGGCCTGCGGCTGCGCATCTCCCACGGGAAGGTATGGGGGCTGTGGGGTCAGGATGTGGGGGAGCAGCTGGGGGGACCCAGCTCAGCCCAGCCCGTGTTCCTTCCTGCAGCCGGTGATGCAGGTGACCTGGCACGGGCGTGGGGACTACATGGCCGTGGTGCTGGCCACCCCTGGCCACACACAGGTGCTGATTCATCAGCTGAGCCGGCGCCGCAGCCAGAGCCCCTTCCGCCGCAGCCACGGACAGGTGCAGCGGGTGGCCTTCCATCCTGTCCGCCCCTTCCTGTTGGTGGCTTCCCAGCGGGGGGTCCGCCTTTACCACCTGCTGCGCCAGGAGCTCACTAAGAAGCTAAGACCGAACTGCAAATGGGTGTCCAGCCTGGCAGTACACCCCGCAGGTGAGGGCGTTGGCGGGGCGTGAGGGCGTTGGTGGGGGGAGCATGCGCCCCGCAGGTCCCCACAACCTCATCTGCCCCCAGGGGACAATGTTATCTGTGGCAGCTATGACAGCAAGCTGGTGTGGTTTGACCTGGACCTTTCTACCGAGCCGTACAGGGTGCTGAGGTGAGGCGCCTATGCGGGGGTGGGTGCTGGCCCGTCCCTCCCCTGCCCTAGCTTGCCCTCACCCAGCCCACGCCCTGCAGGCACCACAAGAAGGCCCTGAGGGCTGTGGCCTTCCATGCCCGGTACCCGCTCTTCGCATCTGGTTCTGACGACGGGAGTGTCATCGTCTGCCACGGGATGGTGTACAAGTGAGTGCTGAGCCCGCCCCCTGCCCCCCTCCATCCCGGGGAGCTGTGCCTCCCTGACCCCACTCCCTCTCCCTCCCCCACAGCGACTTGCTGCAGAACCCACTGCTAGTCCCCGTGAAGGTGCTGCGGGGCCACGCGCTGACCCGCGACCTGGGCGTTCTGGACGTGGCCTTCCACCCCACCCAGCCGTGGGTCTTCTCCTCGGGGGCCGATGGCACTGTCCGCCTCTTCACCTAGGCCACCCTGGGTCCCAGGCCTGTGTGTGCAGGGGACCCTGAATAGAGGTATTCTCCCTGCTGACCATTGGTGTGACCTTGACTCGGGCCTCTGGACCACCTACCCGTCCCCCCATAGCTTGGGGCCTTCATGGGGTCCGCGGAGCCTTCCTGAACAATCGGGTGTGGGGGCACCCCACGCCCCTGCCCCACGAGGGCAGGCTACATCCTGGCATGCCACGCCCACTGCCGAGGAGCTGATGGCTTTATTGGAAACCCAGGGTTACAACAGCTTGCCCACCCCCCCGGCTCCAGTGGCCTCGTGTGGAAGGGCAGGGGTTGGAATCCCTGGTAGCAGGGGGCCCCTTGGGGCCCCATCTTGGGGGTTTAGGCGCAGGCCTGGCTGATGCTGCTCGGAGAGTAGAGCTGCTGCGGGAGCCTCAGGCGAACTTCACCAGGCGGCCCAGGGTCTCAGCAGCCTTCATGCGCACCAGGGGCGCTGGGTCCTTGAGCAGGAGCTGCAGCGCTGGGGGACGGGGAGCCACTGCCAGGTTGCCCTGGGCCCCCCCACCTTCCTGGTGCATGGAGCCTGGGGGGCCTGGACCCATGGTGCACCCCCCGCCTTGTGCAGGGGGCCACCCGCCCACCGCCTCCTAAGACAGGCCTCTGCTGGGAGTGCCTGGGAGCCAACGGAAAGATAGTTTTTCCTTTTTTAGTGTTTTTTAAGCTCTTTTGGAACAGTTAGGAAGTTTCCGTGAATTACTAGAGACGATGAGGTCACCAGTGACAGGGGAAAAATCCTTGAAATCCAGGAAAATCACTTAGTCCCCTGGTGCCCACAGGTCAGTGAGGCCCCACTCAGCCGACAGGTTGGGGGCGGGGGGCGGGGGGGACGGGTTCGGGGCTCACCTGCTGTGATCTGCTCCAGGTCCACCTGTGGCTGGAGCTCGGGCTCCGCGTGCAGCACCAGGAAGCCTGCGGCGGGGACCGCGGGGCAGGGCTCACCTGGGTGGGAGGGGGCGGCGGGGACCGCGGGGCAGGGCTCACACGGGTGGGAGGGGACCGCGGGGACCGCGGGGCAGGGCTCACCCGCGAGCATGGGGGCGGCGGCGCGGACGTCCTCCCAGCTGCTCTTGAAGTAGAAGAGGCTGGTGGCTGCCAGGCGGCCCAGCAGCTCCGGGAAGTGGTGCATCTGCAGAGAAAGGCCGTCCATCTTGGCCCCCGGCCCCCAGTGCGCGCCCCCCCCGGCCCCAGTGCGCCCCCCTCACCAGCAGCTTGCAGGTGGCATTGAGGAACTCCCCAAAGTGCAGGCCCCGGCCCTCCTGTAGGTGCTTCTGGAAGGCGGCCGCCAGCTCCTCGTGCTGCAAGTTGGGGCCGCACATGCGCAGGGCGAACCTGCAGGCCTACAGGGCGTGAACTTGAGTCCCTGAGCCTTGAGCAGGGCCGGCCCCCCAGTTCCCGCTGGCGACTCACGTTGGTCACGGGGGCCTGGGGGTCCCGCAGGTGCAGCAGCAGGGGCACCAGCCCAGCGACCACCTGCTCCAGGAAGACGTCCTCACAGGCCCCGTGGCACGCCTTGTTGAGGTGCCCGAAGAGGCGGATGGACGCAGAACGGAGCTCCACCTTCTCCTGGCCGGGGGCGGGGGCGGGGGGGGGGGGAAGGGGTCTGCGGGCGCCTGCTTCCAGGCCCCCTCCCCCTNGGGGGGGGGGGGAAGGTGTCTGCGGGCGCCTGCTTCCAGGCCCCCTCCCCCTCCCAGCCTCCTTGCCCCTGGGGCATGGGCACAGGGGCCCCGCGGGAGTGACTTGAGAGGCTGGCGTGGGGCGCAGCTGGGACCGAGCGTCAGCAGCCCCAGCTCCAGAGGGTGTGTCGGGGTGCCACGGCGGCACAGCCCAAGGGGGACTGGGGAGCAGGCGCCGGGCCGCCCGGCCTCTTGGAGCCCCTGCTCCGCGCCCGACCTACGCTGTCGAAGAAGGGCCGGATGCGGATGGCGACGTGCAGCAGCACGGAGTGCAGGTCCCGGCGTTCCACCAAGTCCAGGAGCCTTGCCAGGCCCGTCATGGCCTCCAGGGCCACCAGGCTGTGCGGGTCGTCCCTGTCGTCCAGCCCGCCCATCATGGCTGTTAGGAGCTGGGGGCCGTGGGCCCGCACCTGGGGGTGCCCCACACTTAGCGGTCACGGAGCCAGGGGGCCCCCGCGCCCCACCGTGCAGGCTCGCCCCCATGGTGCCGCTCGGTGGGCCACCTCCGTGGCATCCCCACGGCCCGCGCGGCGTCTGCGGGCCCTCCCCGCCCCCGGCTGGGCCCCGGGGCGCCGAGTGCCCGCTCACCTTTTCCGGGGAGCCGGAGGCGACGTTGGCCAGGCCTCGGAGCACCAGCCGCCGCACGCTGGCACACGTGTCCTTCTGCCGCGCCGCCAGGTTGTCCAGCAGCGACTCCAGAAGCATTAGGTCGTTCACCACGTTGGCGGCGAGCAGCTGGAGGCAGAGGTGCCGTGACCGCCTGCGGCCACGGACACCCCCACCCCCCCAGCCACACCGGACCCCCTCCACAGCAGCGCCCCGCTCCCCGCCACTGGGCGCTCACGCGTGTCCTGTGAGGAATGGACGTGGCAAAAGCCCACCCGGGGCCTCCCTCGGTTCTCCCCAGCGCCCGACCCCAGCCGCACCCGGGCTCCCAGTGCTGCGGCCTTTGGGCAAACTTTTGGCGTGTCAGCCACAAGGGGGCTTCCAAGGGCGGCTGAGGCCTTGGCTGATGGCGAGTCCCCCTCCCCTCCGCCCGCACAGCTGAGGCCACTACTGAGCAGAGTGGGGTTGTCACCAGGCCTGGGCCTGTGGCCTCTGGACCCAGCAGCACCAAGCAGGAGCCGGGCGATGGCCCTGGCTGGGGAGGCTCGGCGGCCTCCCCAGGCCCGGACGAGGGGCAACTACCTCGGCCAGGAAGGCTGTGGAAGTGACCCTCTGCGTCTCGTACACGCTGCTCTGTGTGCACACGAGCGCCTTCATCACCAGGGGCAGCCGGGGGCCTGCAGACCTGGCCATGGCGCTGGGGGAAGGGGCCACGTGCTGTGGGTGCTGGGGCCTCAGGCTGCTCCGAAGCCACCCAAGTCTACATCGTCTTCTGCCTCCCAGCCCGTTTGGCCAGAGCCTGGGGTCCATAAGGCCCTGCCCCCCGAGGGGCTGAACCCTGAGTCCCCCCCCCCCCCCGGAGATTGTCAACAGGGCCAGGAGCTCAGAGCTGCCTTGGTGGCCTCTCCACCACTTCCTCGGCTCCCCGGTGCCCCGAGTATCGCCTGTCAGAGCCTGGCCTCCTGGGCCTCGGCAGCGCCGGGGTCTGTCTGCAGGGGCCCAGGCCACCTACCTGGCCAGGCGGGTGACGCCTTCCTCGTGCCCTGCTGAGCTCCCGAGCAGCCGCCAGCCCCCCTCCAGCTCCATGCGCTGCACCACGTCCTCACTGCCCCCCCGGAGCAGCATGGCCTGCAGGGCATCCACTGCGGAGCTGCAGGATGGGGGGGGGGGATTTAGGGAGGGTGAGGGCAGCAGAGGCCCTGCATGCCGATCCGCCCTGTGCCCCCCACCCCTCCGTGCAGATTCCTGCTCCTGGGGAGCGGCCCCCCCCCCCCGGTGGGCAGTGTCCCCAGGACCATCGGGAGGCAGGCAGAGCCGCCAGCAGCTTTTGTCACTTGTCTTAAAGACCTTTTAATTAAACTAAGAAAGAAAATAGAAAATTGTTAACAAAAGTGAACCCAAAAGACAGGTCAGTGCCTGTCGTGCCAGGGCAGCGCAGGGTCTCCAGAGGCTGTGGCTGTCGCTACGACGCGTCTGGCCTCCGACATGCCTGACGCCCTGAGAAGCGGGCCCTCGTCCTGACCTCTTGAGCCCCGTTCTCGCCCGTGTACGGCCACACCCAGCCTGGGACACCCCGGAGCCCAGGGAAGGGACCACAGGTGGACATCTATGCGAGAGAGGAAGGGCCCCCACCTGGGGCAGGACGAGCCGGGCTCCCCCTGCAGACTCAGAGCCAGGGGTGGGCCCAGCTCTGCCCCCCGCCTCCCCCAGCCCTGCAGGCACTGGGCTCTCCGGCTCCCTGGCTGGGGGCGCCGGAGCCTGTGGGGCCCGGCTGCAGCCCAGCCTCTTCCTCAGCTCAGGCAGAAGGACTCGGGGCTGGCAGCGGGCAGGCCGCAGGGGCACGGCCCGTGGTGCTGGGTCTGCAGGGAGAGCGGCACCCGGGAAAAGCTCACAGGAAAGCCTGGGAGAGCTTGGCAGGGCTCCGGGAGCCCCCGTGGAGGGCCTCGGGGCCACGGCAGCCCTCGCCCGGTGATGACCTTGCCCTACGAGTGGCCTTAGGGTGGACACTTGGCCTGACGCGGCCAGGAGCCAAAGTGGGGGCATCCACCAGCAAAGCCGGCAGGTGCTCTGCCTCTGACCGAGACAGCTCAGTCAGGCCGGTGTTTGGCTACGTCAAGCCTAAAGCGGGGAGACACAGGTTTGGCTGAGAAGTGGGCTCCCAACTTAGATGAGGGCGCGCCCTGGCCTGTCCACCCCACTGCACAGGGTCTTTATGGATGTGGCCTGAGCCACGGTCTGACTTCCCGGCTGCCAGGCCTCCTGCACCTCCGCCTGGCCCTGCACACGTCTCAGCTCAGGGCGCGGCAGCCTGGGACACCATAGCCCCCTCGGCTCACGAGCCATGGCGTGCAGTCCCGGCAGCGTCTGCTAGTCCCCTCACTCCCCTCTGTGCAGAGCCGGGCGGGCGCCCCTGCCCCAGTGCACAGGCCGCTCCGGCCGTGGGGCAGCTTCAGCGGGGCGGGGCGAGCTGCCGCTGCCCCGTCTGTCCCCAAGGGGCACGAGCCACGTCCGACCCCATGTGCCTGGAATGGGTGGGGAGGTGGCCTGAGCTGTGTCCCTCGGGCTCTGGAGGGCCTGGGGGGTCAGCCTGTCTGGCCTGTGGCCCAGGGCAGTTGTTTGGGGCCCTGAGGGGCCACTGTGATGGGCCTAGGGCTGACCCTGGAGACGGCCGCCCAGGCTGCTGACGCCCTCCACCCACAAGCAGCCCCGCCCTGCCTGCCCTGCTCACTCGACAGACCCCACCAGGGTCCCGTACCCCAAAAAGGGCAGAGGGGGACGGTGGCTGCACAGGCCAGTGGTGTGGGGCTGGGGGGCTGGCCCTGCAGGCAGGCCCTCGGGGGAGGCGGCAAAGCCATGCAGACTTGCAGCCTGGAGAAGGGGCTCTGACGGGGGGTGCAGAGGGAGCAGAGACCCACCGGTGAGCACCGAGGCTGCAGATGTGGGGGTGGGGGCTTAGCCCCACCTGCACCCCAAATACCCCCCGTAGCCCCTCCTTCCTAAGGGTGACGCTACTCTGGACCCACCCGAGCGTCCCCACACAGCCCCTGCGGGCCACTCCCCCAGTGCCCATCCCAAACATGGCCCAGGGAAGCCGCACCACTGGCACGGACGGTGTGGCCTAGACACCATCACCGGGGTGCAGGGAGGGGTGTCCCAGCTCCCCAGGCCCCCAGTGCAGTGCCCGCCCTTCCCCGTTCCCCCTGCTAGGATGCCAGGCAGCCTCATGCTCACACGCGCACGATGCCGCTGGGCGGCCTTGGAGGACCCAGTTACCTGCAGGGCTCGAGGCTCCTGGGGGCCAGAGCCGAGCCCACGCTCCTCCTCTCCTTGGCCTGCAGGCTCCGGGGCAGCAGGACGCCCAGAGTGCAGCTGACCCGCAGCAGGAGCGTGGTGAACAGCTGTGGGTACAGCTCGAGCACCACAGGGCCCGACGCGGGGACGCTCAGGACCTCGTACAGGGCACACGTGGCCTGGGGACAGGGGCTGCTTCAGGGTCAGTGCTCCCCCGCCCCCAGAGCCCTTTCTAACGAGGCTGGTGAAGGTCCTCCGCGCCCCAGAACCACGCCAGCCCGAAGCCCCTGCTGGCACGCGCCCTGTGTTCTGGGGAGGAGTGGGGGACCCTGGAGGGCGCACCCCAGACAAGGGCTGCTGCCCAGCCTTGCTTGGCCCTCTGGGGCGGGAGGCAGGCACAGCGCGGCACGACCCCCTTGGGGACAGGCGTCCTACCATCTGCTCTTGGCTGCACAGCAGGAGGAGGAGGAAATTCTCGCAGCTGCTTTTACTGCTGGAAACGTGGCCGAGCCAGGCGTGCTTTCCCCGCGGATGAAACGGGCGGTTTCCCGTGGGGACCAGCACCTGTGAGGCCTTTACGAGCCGGGCTCCGGGCCGGCCTGGCTCCGGCGCCCCCATTAGCTGCCAGGTGCCCGAGGGGTGGCGCCCAGGCCCCCTGTGGGGTCCTCCCCCCGCCAGCAGCAGCGCGGCCCCCTCGCCACGCAGGGAGAAGGCAGAACGGGGTGAGGCGCGGCAGCCCCGGGGCCCCACTCACCGCGAGGGGCAGCAGCGTGGCCTCGCGGCCGGGAGAGCTGCTCAGCAGGAAGGCCCGGGTCTCCTTGAACGGGACGTCCCTGCTCACCTTCTCCAGGAGCAGCGCCAGGACCTGCGTGCTGAGGCTGGGCTCCGTGGCCAGCGCCCGCCAGAGGCTGCAGGTGTGGCTGCCACGGGGCAGAAGGACAGTCACCTCCAGGCCACTGCCGGCTCCGCCCCACACCCCACAAGACTCCAGGGGCGGGACTCTGGGCAGGTGGGAAATGGCGCCCCAACCTCACATCCAAACAAACCCATCGGTCCCATCCCCCGACCGTGGGGACCGATAACAGTGGTGAGCGGTGTGGGGAGAAAAGTCTCTGCCGTAACAGAGGCCCTGAGGTCCCCTGGGAGCTGCCGGAAGCAAACAGGTGGCTTTTCTGCATGAGACGTGTGACCGCACAGAAGCTACAGCTCTTCAGGCGCTAACGGACAGAAACGACAGCCTTTTGATATTTAACGGGAACTGGAAATTCTAAAGATTGATAAGCGCCTTTTAAAATTTATTTTGAGAGAGAACAGGGCAGAGGGACAGAGCATCCCAAGCAGGCTCCACACTCCTCACAGAGCCCAACTCGGGGCTCAAACTCAAACTGAGTTCATGACCTGAGCCAGAAACAAGAGCCGGTCACTTCAGCAGCTGAGCCCCGGCAGGTGCCCCTCGAGCGAATCTGACAGGGAACCCGCGGCCCTCAGAAACGAGACAGAACGCCATGCTCGGCAGCGGCGCCAGCCTGAGCAGAGTAGGGGCGAGGAGGGAAGGCAGAGGGTCGGGGGGAGAAGTCAGCTTGGAGTCCGCAGGGGAAAGACCACAGTGGGAATTCAGGAGCCGGAACAAGAGGCCCGAGGGGCGGGGTGACCAGCGGTAACAGACACCCGCTGGGCATGTCCCAGAAGCGCAGGGCGCGGGGGGCGCGGGGGCGCGGGGGGCGCGGGGGCGCGGGACGAGGAAGAGGCCGGCCTGGGTGAGGGACGGACTACAGACCCGCAGACTCCAGCAGCCCAGCGGCCAAAGTAGCGGAAGGAAGGCAGGCGGCCCCAGGCCCCTGCCTGTCATGCCGGGCGCCAGTGACGAGGGCCAGCGGGCTCCCTTCAAAACGGCAGCACCACCACGTCGCGTGGGAGCCAGGAAACAGCCACGCGGCCCCTGCGGACACCAGAGACTGGCCCGATGGGAACCCCGACTCTACAAAGTAACACCCCGGAGGGTGGCCAGAGCCCGTGTCTCCCGACGAAGCAGTAGCGCTGGCTGCCCGCAGAGTCTGCAGGATCGACTTCAGGTGAAGAAAAGTGACGGGGCCGAGATGCCACCGGGAGGGAGGCCGTGCCGCGCACTCGGGGGACAGCGGGGACGGGGCAGCACGCTTCTGACACAGACACCACGTGGAAGCAGACGGGTGTGCTGCAGCTGCTTGGCTTACAGGCAAATTTTAATTTCGTGCGATTTTCACACGTCAGGAGGTATTCTTTAAAACTTGTTTTCTAGGGGCACCTGGGTGGCTCAGTGGGTTAAGCCTCCGACTTCAGCTCAGGTCATGATCTCACGGTTCGTGGGTTCGAGCCCCACGTCGGGCTCTGTGCTGACTGCCAGCCCAGAGCCTGGAGCCTGTTTCAGAGTCTGTGACTCCCTCTCTCTCTGACCCTCCCCTGCTCATGCTGTTTCTCTCTCTCTCCTAGAAATAAATAAAAATATTAAAAAAAAATGTTTAAAAATTTTTTTAAATAAAAAATAAAAAAAATAGAATTTGTTTTCTAACCATGTGTAAGTTTAAAATCCATTCTCGGCTCACCAGCCACACGGAAACAGGTGGTGGGCGCATTAGACTGCCGGGCTATGACCGTTCGGCCCTCGTACGCGGGCGGTGTGGCGCCTCGGCGGTGGCACAGTCCTGCACCCCGGGGACAGTGCGCTCTGCCAGGAAGCCAGGAGAAACTTCCGTATGATTCTCTTTACACTGATTCTAGTTGAGGTTCGAGATCAGGTAAAATGTGTGTCTGACAACAGCAGTCAGACAGCGGTGACCTTTAGGGGCTTCAAGAAGGGGCACGCGGGGGCCCCGGGGGGACGGCCACCTGCGGGCCGGGAGCCACCGCGGTGCTGTCAGTGTGAGCTCCTCGGCGAGGAGCAAAGCGCAAGTGCGTGCGCAGAGCCGGAGGGGCACTGACGGCGGGCGACACGTGGCCTGTCCTGTAGACGAGGACGGGGGGGGGGGGGATGGGGGAGCACGCAGGGAGGGGTGTGAGCCAGGCTTGGCACGCATGGGGTGGCTCCGGGGGCAAGCACGAGAACACAAACAGGGCGGGCGACCTCCCAGCTGCCGCAGGGAAGACCGGCCTAGAAGGAAGGCCCGTCAGGTGCCAAGAGACAAGATCAGAAGAGACCAGGGCAAGAGGCGGCCGGGCTGAGGCTGCTCTCCTGTCCCACCGCGACGGCGGGGGGTGCAGCCGCTGACGCCGGAAGGACAGATGGACAAGGAAAGGTTGGCGGGGACGGGATGGAAGAGGAGACGCGGGGTGCACGAGGCACCCTTGGGGGGGCGGTGGCGAGAGAGCGCAGGCCCGCCCGCGGCACACCCCCAGAGCAGACGGGAGTCAAGGAGAATGAGGGCACCCGGCTGCGGGGGCGACGGGACGGCCGCCGTGGGGTCCGAGACCGGTCCCAGCCACGGGCACCGCAGAGGCAGGACCAGGGCAGGGGCCTCGGCAGGGAGGGGTCCTCTCCCCTGAGGGTCGCGGACAGGAGCTCGGGAGCTGGGCGTGTGTGAGTGGGGGTGCGGAAGAAGGGGGGCTCACAGATGGCGGCAGGCGCCCGCAGAACAGAAGCTGGGGCAGAGAATGCAGGAGGGGCGCCAGAGCGCCAGGCGGGGCAGGCGGGGCCCTCGAGTCCTGCGCCGGGGCTGGCCTTGGCTTCGAGCCCGCAGGCCGGGGCCCCACCACCCCACAGGCCGGCAGGTGCAGGGTACCTGTCGAAGGGCAGGGGGCTGCCCAGAAGGCTGGACACCACGGCGGCGCAGTGCTGGGACGCCAGGAGGTACACGCTGTGCTGCGCGGCCTGCAGGACGTGCTCCTCTCGGGTCTCCTGCAGCTTCGAGCGCAGCACACTCACGATCTCGGGCACCTGCGGGTCACGGGCCACGGGGGTCAGGCCCTGGGCACACCCGCTCCAGCGCCATCAGCCCCACTGGCCAGGGTCACAGGAGGGAAATCCCACGGGATCACGGCCGGCCACCGCGGAGAGAGAAGCCGCGTCCCGGTGCAGGGACCCAGACTGCACGCGGGAGGCCACCAGAGGTGGAGCGGGCGCCGGTGCACAGGGCACGGAGGCTGGGAGCCACGATGACCCCTCACGCCCCCACTCGGGGACATCGGCCCCGGCCCCTGGAGGCAGCACGCGGCCGTCCTCACCGAGCGAAGGCGGGGGATGCGCTGGGACAGCGAGGACCAGGAAGGGGACACGCGCTCCTCAGAGCGAGACTGCAGGCGCCTGCGCCCCAGCCCAGGCCCTGGCGCGGCAGCTGGGCCCTATTCTGGGCGTGGGCTCGTCACCCAGGGTCCCTGGGGAGGGGGTGCCAGGCCCCACCACGGGGATCCCCTACTGCCTCGCCTGCACAGCTGGTAGACACCTCGGTCCGAGACGACGACAGACAGACAGCTGCAGGACAAACCCCTAGACGGGGGCCATGGACAGTGGACTGGGCCACCTCCAGGGCCCGGGCGGAGCTGGCGGAGGGGCCCGCCGGACGGCCAGGCAGCAGGAAGGGCAGGAAGGAGCGCCTGCTCGTGGGGCGGTCTGGCAAGCGTGTGGGGGACAAGCGGTGCGGCTCTTGGCTGTCTGGGGGCTGCGGGAGGGCAGAGGTCCCCGACCGGGGCCACAGGGACCCGTGTCCTCACCACGGGTTCTCAAAGGACCTGTCACCATGAGGACACTCTCCGTTCACAACTGTGAGAGAGGGAAGCGGACGCTCCTCCCACTGCCCTAGCTTCCCGGGCCCCCGCATCTCCCCGTGAGAGACCCCTGGCCGCGCCCCCTGACCCCGGCCCCGGGGCCTCTGGTGGGAAGTGGGTGTTTTCCACACCAGCTGGGTTGGGGCCATGGGCCCTTCCCATCCGAGTTCGCTGCTGAAGTGGCCACAGCCCGCAGCGCTCCCCGCTCCCCCCGGGCTCCTGGCCTGGGCACACGCCTTGCTCGTGCACTTGACTTTCCCGTCCCCGTGCGCTGTAACCACCTATCTGCCCCACGCGCGTCCCCCAGGGCGGATTTTCGAGCCCAAGTGCAGCGGCTCTTCCTTCCGCTCCTTCGCGGCTTCCTCTCCTGGACGTTGGCTCTTCTCTGACTCGTCTCGTTGGAGATGCTTCTAGTTGGTTCAGCAGGTTTATCTGTCTTCTCTGAGGTCTTCTTGCTCTGGCGGATTTCCTCCAGCAGCCAGAACCCACTGGTGCGTGCGAACAGCTCCGGTCAGGACAGCTCGTGCGCGTGGCGGCAGGCCCTGGTGCTCGGCTGTGGGGGACTCTTGGGTTGGGGTTCGCGCCCGTGAGCCAGGTCCGTCCGGTGCCGGATGAGAGTCTGTGTTCCGACGGCCCACGCACCCTTCGCCTTCACCGGCCGCACACCTGTGCCCTGGGCTGGGGTCCGTGCCTTCACGGCGCTCTCGCTCTCTCGCCGTGTGCTCTTCACGGTTCCGCTGAGGTAGGCCTCACACCACGCAGTCTCCCCCTGGGGGTCTTCAGTACATTCACAGGGTCGTGCGGCGTAAGGACACTTCCATCGCCCCCAAGGAAACTCTGCGGTAACCACCCCCCCGGCCCTGGGGACTCACACACTAGGCGGCGTTTGGCGGCTGGTGTATTTGCACCATGTTTTCAAGGTCATGCACATGTAGCGTGTTTCACGTTTCATCCTCTTTGGTTGCCGAGTGACATTTCAGCGCACAGATCGGATGTGTTTTAGTTACGTTTATTCACTGACGGACACTCGGGTCCTTTGGTTTGGCCATGAACGCCATGAGCGTCTGCGTGCAATCTTTGCATGGACGTCTGTTTCTGCTCCTGTTGGGCATGCGCCTGAGCTAAGAGCTGCTGGGTGGGAGCTGCTGGAAGCTGCCAGAAGGCCTTCACCGTAGCAGCTCCGTTTTGTTTGCATAGAGTCTCCTCTGACCTGTTTCCCTGGACTTCCCCAGCACGTCCGTCGCAGAGGGGACCCTCATCCCCCCTTCCCACATGACCGAGACAGGGGCCGCCACCCTCCCGTCCGCCCTCTGCACTCGGTGCTACGACGTGCTCTGTCTCACCACCATCGCACACTGGGGCCGGGCCCTGAGTCCAGTCACGCGTCACCTGCCAGGACACAGTTTCTGATTCCAGGTCAGAGAAACTTAAAGCCTAACAGTGTCCTGGTGCCTCCAGGAGCCCTGCCGCGGTGTCTCAGGGCCGTGAGCTCTGTGGGGGCACGATGCCCGGTGCCCCGTCACAGGGAGCCGGACGTGCGGGTCCCAGACGCGCTCAAAGCGTGCGCCTGGCAGTCAGAAATCCCACTCCGCGGGGGGGCGGGGGGTGCATGCCGTGTTTGTGCGCCGAGGCCAGAAAGGGGATGTGCCTGCGGCAGCACCGAGTGCCCGCCGACCAGTGCAGCACGCGGGCCGTGAAAGGAGCCCGCGTCTATCGTGAATGGGGGGACTCGAAGCTGTCAACCTCCAAGAAAACAGGGCAAAGCTTCACGTCAATGGATCTGGTGGTGATTTCTTGGCCGTGACACCAAGAGGACAGGCAGCAAGAGCGGACTCCAGGCCTGAGTTGGATTTACGGCCTTTTAGTGCGAGGGGCGCCTGGCGACTCCTGACCTCAGGGCCACAGGGTCAGCGCCCACTGGGCACAGAGCCCTCCAATAAAACGACAACAATGACAACTTCCGACGTCACAGGACACAAGCAACAGGCTGAGGAGGCAGCTGCAGACGGGAAAACACTCGTGGCTGCCACACCCGATACGGCCTCGGGGTCCGGGACACACGGAACCGCACAGCCCGGCAACGACGAACCTAACAACGTGATCTGAAAATGCGTGAAGGTCACCGACAGACAGGTCTCCCAGAAGACAGACAAACGGCCGACAGGGCATCAAAAGATGCCCGCCATCAGGAGTCCTGAGGGAAGTCCAGTCAAAGCCATGCGGAGGCGCCACCTCACACCCAGCAGCACGGCCACGATCAACAAAGCAAAAATCAAAACAACAGCAAGTACGGGTGAGGACGCAGGGAAGGGAGCCCTTGGCGCCGCTGGCGGGACGCGGAGCGGTGTGGCCGCCGTGCAAACCGCAGAGGCTCAACACATTCCCAGAGGACCATACGAGCCAGCGCTCCCGGCCGTGGGCAACTCACCCAAGGGACAGCTGTCTGCACACCCGTTACAGCCACACAGACGCACAGAGCGCGTGCCCCTCTGCTCACCCGGAGTCCCCAGGGCGCCTCTCCACCCCTCAGGTCCACGCTGGGGAGCCCTGCTGAGTGCGAAATAAAATCCAACCTTCCCCCAGCAAGCCCACCACGGCTGTGCCCTCCTCCCACGTCCAGACTCTGCCACCCCCGCCACCCCCGCCACCTCCGCAGCCCTTCGCAAGTGACTCGTGAGGGGATGCTCTCCTGCCCCAGGGGTCATCGCACACAGCTCTCTGGTCACCTGGCCCTTCCCGATGCTCTTCCATCTTCTCCATCAGCCAATTCCCATTCGTCCCTTCCTGAGAAGGTATTTGTGATGTGCGCACATCCATGTGCATACGTGCGCGCGCGCGCGTGCCTCTGGCACAGACAGTGTAAAGTACTTCCACAAATCAATAAGCACAGACAACCCAGAAGAAAAAAGGGCAAGACACGGGTGTCTTCAGTTGTGTACAGGACGCACGTACAAAAGCATTCAAGTTCACAAGCGCTCAGAGAATGCAAATCCCACTCACAGGAAGCCGTTACACACCCACAGGAGATACCAGGAAACAACACTGGCAAGAACGTGGCCTCTCCCGTGGGCCCGGGCCTCCTGCCGCGGCCCCAGGAGAAACGCACCCGCACGCAGCCCACGTCAACACAGCCCATCCCGGAACCACCCGCGCGTCGACTGAGGCCGGCAGCCCAACGGACCCTGACGCGCTCGCTCGCATGAAGAACAGTATGTGACTGAGCGGGGCGCGGGCACAGGTGGCGATGTGCGTGGCCTCGCACCGGCAGGGGCGGCACACAGGGCATAGAGGGTGTGACCCCACCTCTGCAGGGGCCGGGCCAGCCGGGGCCCCACGCTGCAGGGACACGGCGGGGGCTCGTGGGGTGGCGGCGGGGGGGCCGGCAGGTCAGGAGCGGGCGGATGTGCGTGCGTGTCCGCGGGAGCCCCCAGACCTCTGGGGCTGTGCCGCCGGGCGGGCGTTCCAGCAGCCACCTGCGCCCCAGAGCCTGCCTCTCACCTACGAGGAGCTGAGCACCTGAGCGGGGGACCCGCACTGACGCGGACAGCCGCCTGCGCTCCGGCCGAGAGCACACGGAGGTGACACGGTGAACGGGGGGGCGACTAGGAGCAGGTGGCACACGAGCATCCTGGGCAGGGACCCTCTGGGCCGGTCGGCTGTGCGAGTCCCCGAAAGCCAGGAGCAGAGGGCCCGGCCAGTGCCGACCCGCCGCGGGGCTCCGCACCCAACGTTTTCCTTCCCTTTCCTCTTCTCCCCTCAACTTCTCACTGGTTACTTGTGCCCGACTCTAACCCGTCTTCAGTCAGAAGATAAAAGCTTGAACTTGTCAGGCCCGCAGGAAGGGACAGAGCAGTGTACAGTGCAGAGCAGGGGAGGGGAGGCAGGGGAGAGGAAGGGCGGGAGGAGGGAGAAGGGAGGGGAGGGAGGCAGGGGGAGGCAGGGGGGAGGCAAGGCAGGGGAGCCCTAACTTGCGCCGCCCCGCCCGCCCCGCCTACCTGCGCCCCCACCCCAGGGTCCCGCCCTGCCCCCTGCCCCCGGCACCTTCTCCTGGAGCATGCTCCCTCGCTCCCTCAGCAGGCAGTTGATCATGACGGTAGCCGCCCTCGAACAGTTCTTGTCTGAGTCACCCAGACTCTCAAACAAGGTCAGCAGGAGGCTGATGAGTTGCTCTGGCGGGAGGCGCTTGGCAATAATCTAGGAGGATGGCTGTGTTAGAACTGAGCCGGTGGGAGCACACACACAGCGCCCCGGGGTCGGGAGCTGCCGGGTCCCTCCTCCAGCCGTCCTCACGCCCTCGGGGCTGCGGAGGGCAGTGGCGGCTCACACACGGGAGGCGCGTGGGGCTGAAGCCTGGCCCTGCTGGAGAGCCAGCCTCAAGGGCCTGCCCTCCTGACAGGCAGGGCGGCCTGGAGGTGTGCAGACTGCAGGGTCAAGGGCAGAGGGTAGCTCATCTGCCCTGAGCGGCCCAGCCGTGGGCCGGAGCCCCCTCCTTGTCCGGTCAGCACAGCAGAGCAAGCCACCGGTCACAGCAGGCGAGCAGCACACGGAATAGAGGGGACAGGAAACCACAGACGGAGGAGCCCCACCGGGCCTGACCACAGCCACCCCACCCCACCTGGACTCCCCCAGGGCCGGGGCTTTGCCTCCCACTGAGCCCTCCCTTCCCACCCAGGAGGGGTCCTGTTGACCCCCCTCCCTTCCTTCCTCTGCAGGAAAGAGAGCCTCTGGACCCGAGGGCCGTGTCCAGACACCGTGGAACATGAGCACCGCCCTGGCGCCCTGGCGCGGGGGCCCCGGGGCAGGCTGTGCAGCGCTCTCCGCTCTCTGGAGCCGGCAGCCGAGCTCCCATCGCCCCTGTTGCTGGGCCTGGGTGGGTCGACCCCAGGAACATGGAAGCGACTAGCCCTCCCTGTCCCCCGCCCCCCAGCCCACTGGCCCCGTGGCGCCCGGCGCCCGGCAGAGCCCATGATGCGCTCAGTGCTGGGCAGCGGCAGCGCCGCTCCGGGGGCACCTGGGCTGTGCCGTGGTACCTGGGCTATGCTGTGGCATGTGTGGAAGAGGACAGCAGGGTCGGGCTGCACGAGGCCTTCCTGCAGCGTGAGGAGCCGCTCGGCAACATCATCCCGGTAGTCACGGGAGAAGCCTTCAGGGGCGGGGCGGGGAAGGGCAGGGGGGCGCTGGGCAGGTGCTTCCCCGGCCCCCAAGGCCCAGACTCTGCCCCTCCTCCCTCCAGCACCCCTGCCCAGCCCGGAGCTCACCCTCGTAGCCCAGCTGGAGGTACAGCAGGGCATGGACGCAGCTCACGGCCTCGCGGCGGGTGGCGGGCCACAAGTCCGCGCAGCGCGGGGAGAAGAGGCCTATGAGGAGGCCCAGGTTGTGGAAGGGCACCAGGGCCTGGAGGGGCGGAAGGAGGGGGCCCTGGAGCAGCACTGGGGGGGACGGCCAGAGAGGAGGGCCGGGGCCCCCTGGACGTCAGGGCTGGGCAGGTGTCCCTGTACCAGCTGGACCCAGATGCAGGCAGGGGTGTGGCCAGTACAGCTCCCCGGGGAGCTGCTTCCCTGCCAGGACCCCTAAGAGGAGGCGGATCCAGTAGCAGGTGTGTGTGGACAGATAACGAGTCCCCAGGAGCAGCGGGGGGGTGGGGGGAAGGGCTCAGCTAAGCCTGGCCAGTGGGTGCGGGAAGTCCCCTCCCCGGGAACACAGGTCCCCTGTCAGGTGAGGGGCTGCGTGAGATCCCCTTCCACCCCAGCAGGGTCCCAGCCCTATCTTCCAGAGCCCAGTCTTCAGCCCCCAGACACAAAGTCCGGCCCACCCTGCGCTAAACAAAGGGCCTGCGGCATCAGTTACACCCCCTGGGTCCCCTGCCTCCACCTGCCCCCCTTGACCCCCACTCATGAGGCCTCCTGGGAAGCGTCCCCACCCTGCTCCAGCCCCTGCCTGTGCACAGGCACCTTTAAGAAAGAGTTCACAGGCTCAGCTGCGAGCCCTCACCCCTGCCATCAGGCTGAAGGGAGGACCTTGGGGGCCAGCCACCCAGCCACCGTTCCTCCTCGTGAGGCCAGACATCTGTCCCCTCACACGCAAAGGTGAACTCTACTTGGACTGGGTTTATGTGAAAAGCAGGCCAGGAAAGAATGTGTGGGAGAAGCCCACCTAAGCACGCTCAGGAGGCAAAAAACATCCAGACACAGGCAGCAGATCTGGCCAGACAGAGCATCAGGGTTTGGGTTTGTCAAAAAACAAAGCAACAAGAGAAAAGACCACAAGCATCTACTCTTGATAAATGTCCTCATTAGACAGACAGACGAGGGCCACCTCGGCCGCTCAGTCGCTTAAGTGGCCGACTTTGGCTCAGGTCATGATCTCACTGTTGACTGTACACCCAGAAGCACAAGAGAATTAACTAAAGCTCGTTAGAAATAACGAAGGAGTCTAATAAACCTCCTCGCCTCTCAGAATCCACAGACCCCACTTTCTGTACGTGCTAACAACAGTCAGATACTACAAACGCCTGCAGAAAGCACTCCACTGACAAAGGCAACAAAATCTCCAACAGCAGAGCCACGTGTTTCTGAGCCGCCTGGGTGGGAAGATCCATTATGAAGGGTGCTGTTGCTCAACACAATAATCTACTAATAGCATGCAATCCCTATCAAAATTACAACAGGAATGTTTTAGGACTATGTGAAACTGATCCTAGAATCACCGAGGCCAACAGCCTTGTACAAACGGCTACGAACCCTGGACAGCACAGCACCGAGCCCCCTCCCCTTGGCAGACGCTGAAGTGCTGGGGAATGTTCCACGTGCTCAGGACGCCCCTGCCTCTGCCCAAAGGGCCGCTCTTGCACCAAACACCCTGGCTTCCTTTTACCGCCCCCGTCCCCATCCCCCATTCCCCACATTTAGGGGACACGGCACACGTTAATCCCAGCTGACGTGGGGGCTCCCAAGGAGAGGGGTGCCCATCGGATTCTATTCTGAGTGGCTGGCCCCGAGGATGGCTCCTGGCCCTGACCGGTCCTCCATCTGCGTCTCCAGAAAGAGGGCAGGGGGACTCGTGGGACGCGGGGGCCACACACAGCTGTCCCCAGGCCGGGGCAGGGGAGCCGCCGGGGACTCACGCTGACGTGCAGGTGCTCCAGGAAGTGGTGCAGCAGGCAGGAGCTTAGGCCCAGGGCCCGTACCCTCTCATGGCCCCGCGGGGACTTGATCCACGGGCTCAGGTGCTGGGGAAGAGGGGGCTTTGCGTGGGTGCTGGGTTGGGGGTGAGCCTGGGAAGCAGGAGCCTGTGTGGCCTGACCGTGGCCAGGTCAGCATCCCTTCCAGGCCACCCCTCCCGGCTGTGAAGGCCGGTGGGCCAGGTCACAGTAGGTCACCCACTCTAGCTAGGGCTCCACCCCTGTCCTGCTGGTCTGGCTAACAGACGTGGCCACACCCTAGGTGGACAGAGAGTGAGCCAGGCCTAGCAGGGGACGGGCTGTTCTTAGAAGCAGATCAGTCTGCTATGCTGGAAAGGGCAGGGAGGGGTGCGGCGTGGCTACCGCATGCCTACTCCACCATCCCGACAGCTCTGGACAGTTGGGAGCTCATATCCGGTGCCTGCATGGCCTCTCCATGGCCGTGCCATGCAGCAGAGAGGGGGCGAGGCCCACCCCCATCCACACACCTGTCCAGGTAGGAAGGGGCCCAGCCTGCCTATTCACACACCACGCCCCCCATACACATGCAGAGAGCACCAAACTCCCCAGCACCCCCAGAGCAGGCAGAGCCAGGAAAACCAGGCATGAGGCCGGCTGCCAGGTGGGGTGCCCCCACCCCAGGGCAGGGCACGCCCACTGCGCACCTCCACCATGATCTGCAGGCCCTGGGGGGTCATGTTCCGCCGGAGGAGGCTCGTCAGCAAATCTTCAAGGGCGTGCATGGTGTCCAGGTACAGAGACTAGGAAGGAATGAGGCGCCAGCCCCACCAGTGACCCTGGCGCCTGCCTGCCACCCCCACCCCCGGGGGTGCACGGTGGTACCTCCTGGCGGTCGTCCTCGGCCTCGGGCTCGGGCGGCACAGCCATGACGCTGTGTAGACAGCCATGGACCATGTCAGCCTGCACTTGTTCTTCCAGTGCTGGCTCCAGGGAGCTGAACCCGCAGTCAAGGCCCCATGCCACACCCCTTGTCCAGAGGGCACATGCACAGAGGGCACCCCCTCAACGGGCTCCCCTCACACCCAGAGGAAAGGATACACCAGGTAAGTGCAGGCGAGCATGGCCTTCTTCCGAATGGGCGTTCTCAGGGAGTCTGGGGGCTCTGCCTTGATGAACTCCTAGGGGAGCCAGCCCGTGACTCAGCCCCTGGCCCAAGCACCAGCTTTCCCCTGGTCAGCCACCTGGCTGGCACTGGCTTCCGGCCAGCTCTGCCCCCCAACCTAAGTGGGTGCCAGGGCCCCTTGCTGCACGCGCCCCCCCCCCCCCCCCTCCTTCCCCGGCCCGCCTCCCCTGTGGGCCCAGCGCCCTCGGAGCCGCCCTAGTGTGGGCCGGGCCCCGCCCAAGGGCTCACCATCATCTGGGCCACCAGCTCGGCTTTCCTCGAGAAGTGGAAAGAGCCAGCTTGTGCACTGCTGCAGATGGCCTGGCTGGCCATGCAGACGCTCTGGACGAGACACAGCTTCAGAGCCGGGTCCTGGAAGGGCGCGGGGCTGCAGCGGGCGGCCAACACCAGCCCCCGCAGCGTGGCTCTGCCCCGGGGCGGCGGCCGTAGCCTCTCTGCCCTTGGGGCAGAACACAGGACAGGCGGCCACTCACAGCGACAGCAGCCGGACCACGTGGCTGCCCTCGGGCCACAGCCACGCACGCTCCTCCCTGAGGGGCTCCCGGCCTGTCCCCCTCCAGCTCTTGCTACAGCCCCTCAGACCAGGGCGCCTGCGCTGCAGCCCCGCGGCACTCAGCTCCCACGCTGCGTCCCCCGCACCCTGCGTCCCCCGCACCCTGCGGTGTGGCTGGAGGGGCATCTCCAGGTGAGAGGAAAAGGCAACACGCCCAAGTGCTCCAGCACAGCGGGAGTGACCCCTGCCTGTCCATCAGCTCGGCCTCTGGGGAGTCAGGAAAGGGGGTGTGGGTAGCTGTTCTGGGGACACAAAGGGCCAGGAAAAGAGACAAGTTTCGGAATATCCTCCCCCTCCCCCCCCAGCCAACCCCAGGAGACCCCAGAGGGTCTGCTCTTCAAGCGGAAGGCCCAGCCGCTTCCAGAGAGGCGTTACTGCCCAGTCAGTGCCAGAGACCCCGGAAAGGAAACACGTTAGTGAGGCCTGGCGGGAGGTGAGCGCCATGAGCATCAGGGAACAGAGTCGCAGCCCACGCGCCTGCCACCCAGCCACTCAGAAGCCCTCCTGTCGTCCTTCTGTCCACCCGCCAGCAGCGTCCAGGCTGGGACACTAGCTCCTGGGCCCTATCGTGGCCGCAAGAGGAGGAGCTGCTCCCAGGTGAGTGGGGACGGGCCCCGACTCCGTGCTCCGGAGTCCCCTGGCTTCCGCCCCTGAGGCTCACAACCAGGCCAGTCCAGAGAAGAGAGAAAAGGCATAGCTCGCACTTAACTCCTACACACTGTACCTTGGTCTCTACCTTTATTCCCAGAACCTGAATGACAAAAGTGAAACGAGTTAAAATGTGAGGCTCTGGCAGGGATGCCCCTGCCCTGCTGGCATGGCACCCTCCACGCAGGCGGTCTGCCAAGGCACCCACCTTGGTGCTGAAGTACTGGAATATGTTCCGGAGGATGTCCGATTCGACCTTGGCCAGCACCAGCTCACGGGGGGCCCGCGCCGCCACGTGGCCGTAACACAGGATCACGGTGCTCCTCACCTTCTCCACCTCATTCTCATTTCGGTCCTGAGGGGTCGGGGGGCCGGCGGGGGGGGGGGGGCGCAGGGCCTCGGTTATAGTTCATTGTCTGCCCCCAAACAGGAAGCCTTGCGCTCAGAACCCCCAGGGCCCTCCGGAAGAAGGACTGAGCTGGCCAGCAATGTCAGAGGCATAATCGAAGGGGCAGATGGCGCCACCAGAGCCCAGGGAGAGTCCCTCCATCAGGGACAGCAGAACAGGACAGGCAGGCCAGCCATGGGCCCAACTGGGGACAAAGTGGCAGAAGGGAAAGCACCGAATAGTCGACCATGGTGGGAGGGGCAGGCAGAAGGGGGAGCTGGGAGCCACAGGAGGGCCTGGGCAGGGGTCCCCAGGGGTCCCCTGCCCCCCCCCCCCGCCCCTCTCGGGTGGCTGCACTGGAGCCCTTCCATCCGGCCCAGCTTGAGAGTCTGCAACCGCAACAGGCACCAGGACACGGAGAGCCTGATGACAAGGGCTGGGGTGGCGGGCCGGGCAGTGGCCTGCATCTGCTTCCCCAAGACTGCAGCCTCCTCTGGCCACCAGGGGGCAGAGGACACACAGACAGCAGGAGGGCAGCCCCCCTGCCCCCCTCCCCGGGAGCCCCTCTCAGAGCCCAGGCTGGCACAGGGCTGCCCCTTGCTGCACCTGGGGGGGAGGCCCACACACACCAGCCCCACCCACGAAGCAGCATGGACTGGATGCCACCTCCCTGCCCTACCCCCAACCAGCAGGGTACCCTGAGCCCAGGAAGCTCCAGAACCCGTGCCCCTCAGGACCTCAAATCCAGGCACCACAGCCAAGACAGAACGCGCCCCTAGCGGCCCCAGCCAGACGCGCCCCCCGGCGGTCACCCTGAGCCCTGTACCTTAAAAATGTTGAAAATGCCGGTGGATTTCCTGAACACATCTGACCTCATGAAGTCCTCCAGCTGGGCCAATACATCATCCAGGTGAGAGATGGCACAGATCCCAAAGCAACAGGCGAGGCCCTAGGGACACACAGGTGCACTCACGCCTGGGCAAGAACTGGTGCGACGGAGCACTCTGCACACACACACTCCGGAGAGGAACACACACACGTGCACACTCCAGAGAGGCAGTCACACGTGTACACACACACACACGCACACACGCACACACTCCAGAGATGCAGTCACACATGCACACACGCGCACACGCCCACACTCCGGAGGAGAGTGTGCGTGCGCGCACACACACACATCTGAGTGCCTCAGATGCACGCCTGCTCGCGCGTGCGCACACAAACACACCCATCTGAGTGCCTGAGATGCACGCCCGCTCGCGCACACAGGCTGAGCGCCTGAGGGCACAGAGGGGCTGCGGGGGAGGGCGCACCTCGCGCTCCGCCTCCACCTGGTATCTGGCCGTCTCCAGCAGCTCTTGCAGATGCTTCCTCACCACCTCCTTGCTTGAAGCGGCGCCTAACGTGGTCCCAATGCATTTATACAGGAAGTTCTGCAACACATCCAAGGGGTGCAGCTGCGCCTGACGCCTGAGTGCAGGAGTGCCCACTGGACACAAGAGCTGCCGGGCACGCACGACACAAGGAGAGGGGGCGACGGGCTCCTGCACCCCCTGCCAGGAGCCGCTGGGGGGAGGCTCACAGGCCCTCCCTCTCTGGCTCTCCCAGGGCCACAGGCCACTGGAGACAGGTTGGGGCAGAAGATCACACGGAATCAGGGCAAAGGAACAGTAGCCTAAGGACCCTGCCCGGAATCCCTCCCCCTGGGGCACCCCCCCCCCGCGTCGTGCACCTTCTCCTGGGGCGTCCCGTTGTAGCAGGGCAGCTGCCTGCACATCTCTAGGCTCAGCTGGCAAATCCACGTGTTGTCAGACACAACAGCCAGAGTGTCCCGGAGGAACTGTGGGCAAGGCAGGGGCTGCAGCAGTGAGGGGCCGAGAATGTGGCCCTTCACGGGGCTGGAAGGGCGCTGAGGCCCAATAATGTCACATGCAGTGACCTCAGGGTGGTCCTGTGCCGTGGCTCTGAACGGTCTGTCAATGACCATCAAGCCTAGGCAGAGCACACCCCGGGTGGTCAGGCGTGCGGCGGGCCAGGCAGGGACAGGAGAGAGGATTCCCGGGCTGCAGGAGCTCAAAGCCCCTGAAATTCGCCTCTGTCACCACAGGGTGAGGAACCAGGCGGTCGTCCCCAGCGCCCCCAGGCCTCCCCCACCCCCCACCCCACTAGTGCCTACTGAGCTCCCTGAGCTCTCCTGACCCAGGCCGGAGAGGCCTCTGCCCCCAAGACAGGCCACGCATGGCCTTGCCCCCCAGTCCTCACCGCCAGCAGCTTTTCCTCCCACTCCTTCTGGGACAGGGTCTCTTCCGTATGTTCTAAAATGACCAGTCATGCAGTCAGCCCGGCCCATCCCCATCAGTAGAAGGGGGACCCACCCAGAGCTTCCAGGCTGGCGTCGCCTGACTTCGGGAGGACCAAGGTGCTCCCATACCCCAGACGCTCCCAGGGGACACCCCACAGGGAACACTGTTCCCGCCTTGGGTCCTGAACCTCCGTGGGGGCCATTTCTTCCACCTCAAAACACTTGTCTCCACAACCCAGAGGCAGACCGGCAGAAACGGAGGCAGCGGAGCGCGGCCCGCGGCCCAGAGCCTCACCGTCCAGGTGCGCCAGCAGCAGCGGGACAGTCGTGGCCCACCGCTGGCCCAGCAGAGGGTGGATGTCACGGTGCAGGATGTTCAAGAGGCGCAGCGACGCGGCCCCGCGGCCACCCCCCAGGTAGGGCGTGGAAGACACAGTCTGAGGGAAGTAAGGGTAGGAGCTCCGGACCTGAGGGGTCACACAAGGGCCCCCTAAGGCCACCCTCCCGGGAGGTGGCGGGTCAGAGACGGCTCTGAGACGCAGGTGTGAGACAGCATGAGGCAGGGGACACGGGGACCGAAGGGGGTGCCCGGTCCTTTTCCGGACCCCCTCGGCGTGCTGTGCGCACAAAGTGCTGGAGCGCGATGCTTACCAGGAGCCTCGTGGTTATGGCGTAGGGTGAGGGCAGGGTCGCTGGAAAGGAGGAGGGAGGAATGCTCAGGGGGCTGCGTGCCCACAGAGCCCAGCCCCCGACTGCACCCTGGGGCGGGGCGGGGCGGCGCAGGGGGGGCTGCAAGGGCGGGGCGGGGCGGCGCAGGGGGCAGGGGCGCACCGTTGCTGTCGTACGGGAGGAGGAAGGCACCGGCCCCCACCTCCTGCCTCTTCTGGGCCAGGTGCGCCAGGCTCCTGCAGAGTGGGGTCAGCGCCCCGGTGAAGCGCACGGGTGTGAGAAACTCCAGCAGGTACGGCCAGAGGACCTGCGGGCAGAGCTGCGGTCTGTGTGCGGCACACTGGCGGCACGGCCGCCCCGAGCTCCCGCCAGGCACCTCGGGGGGCTTGGCAAGGTTTGGGGGGGGCGGCGGGCAAGCGCCCCTGCCCCCACAGCTGCCCACCACAGGGGTCGGCGGTCACAGGGCCGTGAGGTCGGGAGGGGCGCGGTCACTCACAGAGGCCGGCCTGCACACTCACGTCGCTCATCCTGTCCACGGTGGTGCTGAGCAGGTAGAGGGTGCTGACGCTGATGGCCCGCACACCGTCCCCGGTGAGGTCCTCGCCGTCGGCACCCGGCTTCTGAGGCTGGGGTGGGGGAGCAAGGGCAGAGGCAAGCATGCGGCTGCTGTCACTCTATGCGCTTGTGGGCTCTAAGCCACGAGGACGGACCCTGCCCGGCCTCCACCGAGGGGGCACCTACGGCACCCGCCGCGGGCAGGGAACACCTGAGCTCTCGTCCCCAGAACAGAGGAGCCTTGCGCACTCCCTGCCAGCCATGGGCCCTAAGAAACAAATGACTTCACCCTGCACTCGGCAAGGGTGCCGTGCACGGAAACGGGAGGGCCTCTGCGGAAATGACAACCACTTGCGAAAGCTCCCGTTTTCTTTTTTTTTCTTTTTTTTAATATTTTTTATTTATTTCTAGGGGGGAGAGAGAGAGAGAGAGACAGCACGAGCAGGGGAGGGTCAGAGAGAGAGGGAGACACAGACTCCGAAACAGGCTCCAGGCTCCGAGCTGGCAGCCAGCACAGAGCCCGACGCGGGGCTCGAACCCACGAACCGCGAGATCATGACCTAAGCGAAAGTCGGACGCTTAACCGACTAAGCCACCCAGGCGCCCCAGAAGCTCCTGTTTTCTACCAAGAATGGGCTACGATGGGTTCCACCCCATGGGGCTGACAGTCCCCTGGAGACACCTGTGTCCTCGCTGGTGGGCCTGCGCCCTGGCGCCCAAGCTCCCCGGGAAGTTTCCAGGCAAGAAAACCTGTCCCCTAAGTGTTCTGGCTGGGCCTGCCGCCCGCGCTCTGAAGTCCCGACAAGCAAACACCGAGCAGCAGAGACAGCAGAACGCTGGAGACCCGCCGTCCTCACATGGACGTTACAGGCCAAGCAGAAAACACAGGGGACTCAGGGCTCGCCTGACAGTTTTTAAAGCACCTTCTTACAAACATAGATAGAACTCCATATCAAACAAACGTGAGCAACTTTGTGAGTCTGATCATCTACTAGGCTGAAAAGACTGTCTCAACAATTTTTAAAAAATTTTTTAAATGTTTTATTTATTTATTTATTTATTTCTGAGAGAGACAGCGTGAGCAGGGGAGGGTCAGAGAGAGAGGGAGACACAGAATCTGAATCAGGCTCCAGGCTCTGAGCTGTCAGCACAGAGCCCAACACAGGGCTTGAACCCACGAACCGTGAGATCATGACCTGAGCTGAAGTCAGACGCTTAACCGACTGAGCCACCCAGGAGTCCCTCAACAGTTTGTTTGGTTTTTTTTTACTGATTTTACTTTTTTAAGTAATCTGTGCCCGACATGGGGCTAGGATTCACAACCCCGAGGTCAAGGACCGCCTGCTTCTCTAACAGAACTCGCCAGGCAGCCCTCCCAACAAACTCTTAAAAGCAGAATTAAACCTGGCCAGATTCACAGTAGGCAATACAATGAAATTACAAGTCCACGGTGGCCACAGAAAGCTAGTTACCTAGAAAAAGTCTAATATCCGAATAGAAATCTTCAAGTCCCTAAAACACTAGGAAATAAGAGACTAAATCAGAAGTCTCAATTCTCTCCAGTGTAGGCCCCACAGGCCCAAGGCGGCAGTGGGAACACAGAGGCCAGCAGCAGCCCCCTTCCTCGCCCCCCGCCCACGGGAGCAGCTGCGAGCGGTACTCCCTCCTGAGGGCCGCCAGGCGCTGTTTCAGAGACAAGGCAGCAGCATCCACTCGCCTGGGGGCACCCCAGTGTTTCAGCCTAACCCAGAGGCCCCACGGGGACACGTGCACGTCCCCTGTACAGGGCTGCTCTGCTCTAAGCTGACCCGGGCAGGCAGGTGGCTCTGGGCACAAGACCACGCAGTCACGCCTGTGTGTTTCTGCCGCGTCCATCTTGCTCTCCCTCGAGAAGAAACTTGGATTTACTCAGTAACGTTTTCAATTCAAAAGCGCCGGGAAGGACCAGGCATCTGTTCTGCCTCTTTCCTGAGGCCTGGGAGCCAAGGAAGCAAGTGTCGCAGCGCGGAGGTCCCAGCTCAGACTCGGGAGACGGGAGACGGCCGCGCACACGCCCCAGCCGCCTGCCCCCGGCCGGGCCCGGGCACACCCTTACCTCTGTCTCGGGCGGCAGCGCACACTGCTGCACGATGTACTCGACCATGGCCTCTCCTCCAGGCTGTTCCAGGTAGCCGTGGTGGGCCATGGCGCTGATCACCTGCACCACGGCCCGCTTCACCTGCACAGGACCGAGGGGGATCAGGGAGCGGTCCCAAGGGGAGCCCACGGCAGCCCGGCTCTCCCTCCCCTCCCCTCTGCCTGTCCCTGCAGCCACACCTGGGCCACAGCCAAGCGCGCGCTGCAGCAGCACCCACCGTCACACCGGGTCCGCCTCTGCGCCTGCGGCCACCTTCGTCCCTGCCCCAAGGCCACACGGGCGGCCTTCTCGCCAGTCTGCACACGTGCTCCCCTCTTCCTGTCCCCCACGCCTCCCTCGCTCCTGGGCCTGCCCCACCCCGGCACAGGGCTGCTGTCCCTCAGGGCAGGCACCTCTCTGGTGCTTCGGGGCGAGACCCCAAGTCTACAGCTGCTGCCCTGACGCTCCTGGGAGTTGAGCCTGCTGCCCAGCTCCCCTCGGGGGCCCTGCTGGTGGCTCAAAGGCACATCCAGGTCACCGTGGCAACTCTTCCCCGGAGCTGGCTCTCCCCACTGACCATCCTGTTTCTCCCTGAGCCCTGGGGCACAGACCCTGGTCCAATGCCCCCTCCCTGGCTCAGGTCCTCTCCTCCTTTGCACATCAGGTCAAATGTCACTGCTCTGGGCCTCCTCGGCCACTCACAGCTCTGTACCATCCCGTTACACGTGTGCCCTGAGCGACCGTGAGAAGAGGGAACAGCGATCCGGGCGCATGATGAGTGCTCAGGATGAGCGCGTCAGGCCGTGGGCACTGTGAGGGGCACACGGCATGGCCCTCTCAGGAGTGTCCAGAGTAGTATTGCTGAGCGGGAGGGGGTTCCGGGGACTGTGCATGGGGGTCTGGGACACATACGGCCTCAGTGGTTTGGGCTCCATTTCAGTAGTTTCTGAAATTGTCAGAGAAGGTCTCAAAGAGCAGGCCTCCCTGACGATGCAGCCCCTCAACCTGGTGTGCAGGAAGGGCTGACCCTGCCCTCGGCTGCTGGGAGGTCACTGCCGAGCCCAGAACATTCTGAGTCCAGTGTGTTTGTCCCCCGGGGGCTCTGGGCCACACTGCATCGGCTCGGCCTCCCGAGGGGCTGGAGACTGAGGTCAGCCACGCGGGCAGTGAACCAGCTCTACAGGACGGAAGCCAGACAAAGGCCTTGGGCGTGGGGGCTCGGGGCTTTCCCGTTGGCGACACTGGGGCGCGCCATCTCGTCGCTGCCCAGGGAGCCGACGCTGCCCATGACCCCGCGGGGGAGGGGACGGTTCGCACCCTCCTGGGCCCTGCCCCATGAGCCCCTTGCCCTGGCCAATGGTGGCGAGTCCTTTCCCTGTGTTAACCATAACCTTGAGCATGACGCCTCCCGGGAGCTCTGGGGGTCCTCCGGAGGGTGATCCTACATGAGGGGCCGGGGACCACTGCCCCACTCCGTGTCTGGTTGGCTGCATACGGAGTAGGATGTGGGAGTGCTGACTGCTCAGGGATGTGCCTTCCCTCTGATGTCTGGGTCTGGCTGAGGGGCGGCTGCCTGGTCAGCGACGACCTCCCAGCCCGGCCTGGCCACCCTTCCTGCAGCTTCTCCCGGTGGGGCTCAGGTGGTACCCCCTCCCCCCCCATCTACCTTGCTGTTGGTGTCCAGAAGAGGAAGTCTCATGGAGGACAGAATAAAGGGCTTCTTCACTTCCATCTGAGAAGCTGCAAGAAACCAGCAGATGGCTCAGTCTCCCCAGCATGACTGAGGCTGGCCGGCCCATCCACTCCCCCAAGGCCCAAGACCTTCTCACCAGGGTCCGGCCTGGCGCGGCCCTCATCACGGGGCACGGGCGGAGAGGGGGTGGTGCCTAAGCACACTTCTTTCCGGGGGACAAATGACCTTCTTCCCAGATAACATTATTTTGCCCAATAAGAAGCAACTACAAGATTGCTAATTTAGGGCAGCAGGTGAGAGAGTGTACTGTCAGGTCAAGCCAGGTTCAAGGACGGGGCCTCCAACCGCATCCCAGTCCCAGCAGGCCTGGTGAACACCAGCAGGTCCGCACATTCCTGGCTGTGCGGATGCTGCTGGGCTGAGGGCCCCACCCTGAGAACCACCAACGTAACCCTTTGTTTCCTGGTATTTCTTTCTTTTTTTTTTTTAAATGTTTTATTTCTAGGAGAGAGAGAGACAGCGTGAGCAGGGGAGGGTCAGAGAGAGAGGGAGTCACAGACTGAAACAGGCTCCAGGCTCTGAGCTGGCAGTCAGCACAGAGCCTGACGTGGGGCCCGAACCCACGAACCGCGAGATCATGACCTAAGCGAAAGTTGGACGCTTAACCGACTAAGCCACCCAGGCGCCCCTCCTGGTATTTATTTCTTTTTTTTAATGTTTATCTTTGAGAGAGAAAAGGGGGGGAGGGGCAGAGACAGGGGAGACACAGAATCGGAAACCGACTCCAGGCTCCAAGCTGTCAGCACAGAGCCCGACGCGGGGCTCGAACTCACAAGCCTCGAGATCATGACCTGAGCCGAAGTTGGACGCTTAACCGACTGAGCCCCCCGGCTGCCCGCTTCCTCATACTTAGGTGGGGAGTAAAAGCGGCTGAGAAGCGGTGCTGAGACCCGTGTGGTGCCCACAGCGCAGGCCCTGCAAGGGCACACTGGGGATGCCACTTTTTGTTTTTAAAGATTTTATTTTTTAAATAATCTCCACACCCAACATGGGGCTCAAACCCAAACCCCAAGGTCAAGAGCCGCACGCCCCGGCGACTGAGCCGGCCAGGCGCCCCAGGGGCGGCACTCTCATTCCACGTGATGGCCCCTCACACCACGAGCGCCTGTTGCTCTCGCCCGCGCCCAGCGCGGCACCAGGCGGCCATGAGACCAAGAGTGGGCTCCCGGCCACGTAAAGTGACAGCAGAACACGCACACCACACGTGCCGAGAAAACACGATTCTAGACCCAACTGTAAGACAAACCGCCCCTTTTATAAGATGCTGCAAAGGACCCTCGTGCATGCCCAGCAGGAGAGCAGAGCCGGAGACACGGGGCGGAGGAAGGCTGCAGAGGCTCGGGAGGGCAGAGGCGGCCTGCAAAGTGGCCGCCAGGGCGGACGAGAGAAACACAACACACAACCGGAGCCCCTGTGCCCTCGATGCGCAGGAGAACCCCAGCAAGCTGATGAGGAAACTAAGGCGGATCAATAGAAAAATGGGCAAGAGAGTCAACCAAGCCCCCGCGGCCAGCCGCCGGACCCGCCACCCGCCAGGCAGACAGGGGACGGCCACCAGTGGGCAAAGACAGAGGTGGGGCAGCAAGCACGGGAGAGCACGAGCCCCCGCAGACCCCCACGTGCAGCCCAGAGACGGCGGGAGCCTTCACCACCGCCGAGGGTCCTCACAAGTCCACTGAGGCCAGGACGTCCGTGCGGGACAGCAAGCCCGACTGGTCCAGGCTGCGGGCGGTGAGCCAGGAACATCCTGCTGGGTGAAGACGCAAGACGCACCAGACGCAGCTGCGTGGGTCCCCCTGCGTGACACGCCCTCCCACCGCGGGAGCGCACAGCGGGGCTGGGGGTGGCCGTTTCGGGGCTCGTGGGGGGGGCCCATGTCCCCGACCACACACGTGCTCTGGGAGCTTTCGCTCACATTTACATTCTCAGGAAGAGGTTACAAAAGAGCACAGAATGCAAACCACCCGATAGAAAATAGTGCAGACTGTGACAGGAAAAAGGATGTGGGGGCTGGGGGACACCAGACCTGGGCTCAAGGGTGTGGGGACACGCCCAAGGACTGACATCAGTCCCGAGGCTCAGGTCGACAGACAAGTATCAAAGTGCGAGCAAACACAAGAGCCCCCCCCCCCCCCGGTCTTCCTGCCACGTGGGTAAGGACACCAGACACGCGGCGCCCCCATCACTCACAGCTTCGACCGTGGCTCGAGTTTACGTGGAGCCCAGCTGTGAGCCAGGCACTTATAACGTGCCAAGAGCGCGGCACAGAGCAAGGCGGACGCAGCACTGCCCCGAAGCGGCATGTGTCCTAACGGGACAGGAGACATGAGCAGACAAAGAGTGAGACCATCACAAGCTGTACCAATGTCACTCAAGTACAGACGAGAGGCAGAGAAGCAGAGCATGAACGGGGCTCCCGGTCTGGACAGGCAGCCCGGGGCTGGGGACCCTCCTGAAGAAGGCACATGTGAGCTGCGATCCCGGCGGGGTGCAGCAGCAGGAGCCTTCCAGGCAGGAGGAGGCCTGCGGCGGCTGAGCAGAGCCCTCACCGCAGTCTGCAGAGGGGCCGCTGGGGCCGTAGCGGCGGGGAGGCCGAGGTCCAGGAGGAGCCGACTGTCTCCACGGTGCCTGACCCTGAGTGACCAGCACCAGGGCCTTGGGGACAATTACTGGACTTTAGAAATAAAGAAGAAACCCTCTGGATGTCTGAAAACAGAAACAAAACAAATGAGAAAAAACCCCACACACCTCATCCAAGAGGAAAGAAAATCAGGTTGACATTGGCTTTGAAGGATCGCTTGCACCAGAGCAGGGCTGCGAGGTGAATCTGAATTTCAGACAAACAGCAAATCGTTTTTTGGTACGAGACGTCCCACGTAACATCCGGGGCATCTCGTCCTGCTTAGCCCTGCAGTTCCGCAACAGAAGACGATGGATGTGAGTGGAGGATTTTATAATCATCAAAACCGGGCGTCAGGTACAGAAAGCACAAATAAGAGCACGAACACGCGCCTTTCCCGTGGACTCCGCCACGGAACGGGCCACGGGGGGAGACGCGTCCTATCTGCAGCTGCAGGAGGACGAGGTCACAGGAGGCCCGGGGAGGGGAGAGGACAGCACGGGCTGGCCGCCCGTGGGGACCGTGCAGACGCAGCTGCGGCGCACAGCTGCTACACCCGGAGCGCAAGGACATCGGCCGCGTCCCTGGTGGCAGCATCAGTCTCGAGCCTTGGTCACGTGTGTAACAGGAGGACAGGCAGGGCGTCTGACATGTTCTAAACCTGTGACGCGTGAGAAGCAGGTTGCTGGGGGGGGAAGAAGAGGCACAGGCGTGACAGAAAGGGACGGAAAGGCTGGCCGTCCGGCTGTGCGTCTGGACCCACCAGCACGACTCGTGGGTTTTCTACCTTCTGTCTCTACTGCTCACGGTATTTGGTTCTGTCTCCCAAAAAGGCCTGGAAACAGTGACCACCTAGAAGTAGCAGGCACCTGACTACGGTCTCTGAGGACAGTTTCTCACTAAGGAAACAGGGCTTTTTGGAGAAATGGCTGATCCCAGGTCTGGGCGACAAATGCCTAAGCCGAGCCTCGAACACCAGCTCCAGAGAGCACTGTGGCCGTGACCCAGGACTCGCCGGGAAGAGGCTGACAAGGTCCGGAGGTGACACAATGTGAGTATCGATGACGGTAACGACTGCACTGAACTGAAATCCATCAAACGTGTTAAAATCCATGAACACTTAAGGTTCTTTAAATGGGGCACGTGGGTGGCTCAGTCGGTTGAGCATCTGACTTCGGCTCAGGTCGTCATCTCACGGTTCGTGGGTTTGAGCCCCACTTTGGGTTCTGTGCTGACAGCTCAGAGCCTGGAGCCTGTTTCGGATTCTGGGTCTCCCTCTCTCTCTGACCCTCCCCTGTTCACTCTCTCTCTCTCTCTCAGAAATAAATAAAACATTAAAAAATTTTTAAAGGAGTCATTAAGCCATAAGTTAATATTTTGTGTGACTGCTGCCTGCGATCTATCCTATAGTAAAAAGATTTTTTTAATGGAGACGAACAATCTTGAACAGAGTTGAAGGAGATACGCTCCCAGATTGGAAGGCCTCCTACGAAGGCCTACGACTTAAGAGTGTGTGCTACAGGTGTGAAGTCCGTGAAACAGAAGAGCCCCAAAAGGCACCCGCTAACACATAATGTTGAATTCCTACTCTTTGTACCTCAGAATGTGATTTTACTTGGACACAGGCTCACCGAAGGTATAATTAGTCACGTCAGGATGGCGTCACACTGGAGCAGGGTGGGGCTTTACTCTAATACTACTGTGCCCTTATGAAAGGGGAATTTGGACAGACACCCAGGGAGGTGCCTGCAGAGATGACAACAGAGGCAGAGGGCAGGGCAGGGCCGCTACAAGCCAGGCGATGCCAAGGACCCCCAGCCGCTCCAGAAGCTGGGTAGGGGGCCTGGGACAGGTTCTCCCTCGCCCTGCTGACACTTTGATCTCTGACACATAGACTCACAGTGACACCGTGAGACAACACACCTCTGTTGCTCAGCCCCCCAGTCGGCGGTCCTTTGCTAAGGCAGCCCTGGCAGACTAGTGCATCTGGGCACCTTATTTTCCAGAAAGCACTAGAGCAATGGGGAAAGGAAAGTCTTTGCGACGAGTGACGCTGGAACCATGGGGCGCCCATATGAAGATAAACCTTCACTGCCTACAGCTCACGCCACACCCCAACGTGAGTTAGAAATGAATCAAAGAACTAAATGTGCAAGTCAAACAACAAGTTTCCTAGAAGAAAAAGGAGTATCTTCACGTCCTCTGGCAGGGGACAGTCTTCTCAGACACAAAGGTGCCGACCCCAGGAGGAGGCACACCCCATCTACACAGATCTGATGCACGATTTGTAGAGATGACCGTAAGAAAAACAACTCAGTTTTAAAATGGGCAAAAAGATGGGGCGCCTGGGGGGCTCAGTCAGTTAAGCATCCAACTTCGGCTCAGGTCATGATCTCACAATTCATGGGTTTGAGCCCCACGTTGGGCTCTGTGCCGATAGCTCAGAGCCTGGAGCCTGCTTCAGATTCTGTGTCTCCTTCTCTTTCTGCCCCTCCCCTACTTGTAATCTGTCTCTCTCTGTCTCCCAAAAATAAATAAATGTAAAAAACTAAAAAAAAAAAAAAGTGAAATTCTGAAGGAAAAAAACATGAACTAGAGGCCAAATAACTTTAAAACATTTGATGTAAAAAGCACAGAAGACAGGCAACAAGGCAAAAACAACACAGCACACATGACAAATCTGGAAACCGCAGATACTGAAATCCTGTTTAAAAAATCCCAAGGTAAAGTAAGATTTGAAACTGCATATGGAGAGGGCACATCCCAGATCTGGGCAGAATACCGCCCCCAGGACAGCCAACACAGGCAATAAAGTTTCTGGACTCAGAATAAATAAAAATCCTTTGGACAGCCAGGCAAAACAAACCAAATCGCTTGTAAGGAAAATGAGTATCAGATTTCTCAGTGACAGCAGCTGACACTAGGGGACGTGAAGCAAGGAGGGAGGGACAGAGAGAGGTAGGAATTTCACGTGTGGCCAGTCTGACCTGATGGGCACTGCCCGCCCACACAGGACATGGCTTCCCGGACCACGGTGCGGCGGAACCCACCTACGGCCCGACTTCTTAGTCAAATTACAGTATTTTACTTTTTAAATTTAAAAAATTTTTTATTTACTTTTGAGAGAGAGAGAAAACGAGTGGGGAGGTGCAGGGAGAGAAGGGGACAGAGGGTTCTAAGCAGGCTCCCTGCTGACAGCACAGAGCCCAACGCAGGGCTCAAACTCATGAACTGTGAGATCGTGACTGGAGCCGAAGTCAGACACTTGACCAATTGAGCCACCCAGGAGCCCCCATATTACAGTGATTTAATTCCAAATTCGAGGCCTTCTAAAAACCAGGGCCCCGGCTCAACCCGAGCAGGGCATGCATCCTAGATCCTCTGCTCGTGCGGACACAAGGCCAGGGGCCATCCCTGAACTGCACCGAGCCTTCCTACCTTCGTCTACAAGACACACAGGGGCCCAGACACGGCCGGCCCCGGGGACACGCACCTCCCGCGACAAGTGAGGTCTGGAGAGTGGGGTGGTTCATGCCCAGGCTGGGCCGCCACCCGCAGACACCTTAACACTGTGCGCTGTTACAGGTCAACCGTGTCTCGATAAAGTTGAACAGAAAAAGATATAATCCAGTTGCCTTTGAGGAACTTTCGACAGATCAACAAGCTGTTAATGATTTTCTCATTGTAAGTCAAACTAAATATGGTTTTTAATTTTATAAAAACCAGAACGAGATACAATAACACACCCACCAAAATGGCTACAACGACAGACCAACAGGCGCTGGCGAGGACACAAAGCCGCACCACTCACATGCTCCCCGGGATGGCTACGGCATGGGCCGCGAACCGGGGTGCAAACTCTGGAAAACGGATGGTTTTCTTCACCGAGGTGAGCACATGCATACTTTACAACGTGAGGCTCCACTCCACGGTACACACTCAGCCGCATGTGCACGGACAAACGTCACTGGCAGCATTGTGCACGACAGCAGACGGCACGGGACACGGCCCGCGTCCGGCCTGCAGTGGGACGGATGTGGTGTAGACTGCACTCACAGCTCGTGTCTGAACCAGGCTGCAGACCCACCACACCCCGTGGCCAATGTTTATTGACCAAAACTTATGGAAAAACACAAGCTCGGGGGTGAAAAGTGTCCGGGCTCGTTGCTGATTAACCCTAGAAGCAGAAGACTGGGCCCTTCCATGTGACGGTGAGGGGTCATCGCAGGTGGCAAGGCGCTCCACAGCACAGCTGGCCCGCACCCCTCCCAGAGGCCAGCACCCGAGAGATAGGTCACCAGTGTGTGTCCCTGACTGGAACCCCCTAGCTGGGGGCAGCCGTGACAGACGACATCAGGCCAGGGGCCTAGCGGTGAGTGGGTGGCCCAGCACCAGCACCTGCAGCCACCTGTCAAAGGCCAGTGTCCATGAATCAGAGCAAGACGGCCGGGATCTGCCTGTGTCAGGCCCTGCCCCACGCTGGACACTCACCAGCTGAGTTGATGACGTGCCTCACGACCTGCAGGGTGCCCACGCGGATCCTCTCATTGCTGGCATCGAGCTTGGGCAGCAGGAAGGCCAGCAGGCGGTCAGGCGCGCAGCACGCTGCCGGGCAAGCACGCAGCCAAATAATTATTTGTAATAATCTCTGCTCCCTGCCCATTGTCGGCACCTATAAACCCGAGGGCCAGGAGGGATGGAGACTGGGCCTCCGCAGTGAGGCCCCAGACCCGCACGCAGGCCCAGGGACAGGGAGACAGAGATGCCTCCTCACCTCAACCCACGGCCAAAGCTGCCACCACCCCCTGCACACGAGCGGTCCACTGGCCCCCACGTGAGCAGACATTCGGGGGCCGCCGCCGGCTTACCCAGCACGGTGAAGCAGCGTAACACCTCCTTTTGGTTGCTCACCACCAGGGGGCTGGACGACTCCACGGGCACACAGATCTGTTCCAAGGGACAGAGGACAGCGGTTACAGGGATGCTGCTGTCTTCCAAGGGCTCGGCTGGCGTGGAGGGAAGGACGCTTGTACGGTCCCTGGTCCTCGTGGCTTCCACCTCCCCCACGGCCGGTCAGGTCACTCCGGCTCTTCCTCACGGGGCTGCAGAAATGCACTTTCCACCGCGGTCAGAGGCCCTCAGGTCTCCAGGGGAGAATGTCCTGGCTCCTTCGCTCTGCCTTCCCTACCAGCAGCCAGGGCACAGCCTCCTACCTCCTCTGTGCACAGGCTAGACACCACTAATCTCCAGAATACGAAAGTACTAGAAACCAAAACACCTAGTGTTAGTTCATTCAAAATTGTAAAAAACAAAACACAAAAACACAAACTGAAGCTGTGGGTAGATGTGTCTCTAGGGTCCGTGGCACCTCAGCAGACGACATGGAGACCCCCCACCCCCCAACCCCGTCATGGTCATGACCCCAGCGGGGCCTCTGCACAAAAGGCTCAAGGGCAATTCTTCGGCACAACCCATCTCACGAAGCACAAGAGGTGACCGACAGAACAGAGCAGGTCCCCAGAGCCACGGACCCCGCCCCACGCCGGCCCCTGCTAGCTCTCAGAGAACAGGGGGGAAGAGGCTGGGTGCGGGCCCCGGCCCCAGGGCTCTGCTGCAGGCCCCCGGGTACCTCCTTGTCATTCCCGTTGTGAAGATTCGTTGGGTCCCGGGAGGTGTGTGGCAGCCACCCATCTGCTCCCAGGGGGGCTCTCCCTCTGCTGGGGACTGGGTGGGGGGGGTGCTCAGCTAGCTGCCAGGCGGGCGGGATGCTCAAGCAGCCCCGGGGAGAGAGGCCTCCGGCGCACAGCCAGGCGAGGGCACCATCGTGGAGACAGACCCCCAGCCCCGGTTGAGCCTTCAGGCTGCAACCCCGTGAAACCCCAAGCCAGAACCGAGCAGCTGAGCTGTGCTGAAGCCCTGGCCTGTGGTGACCGTGGATAATAACGTTGCTGCTTCAACTTTTAGAACACTTGGTTACACAACAGAGGAGCGGTGCAAAGGGTGGTCATCTGGAAAAAAGATGAAACTGGACTCTCACTCACTGTTTCCCTAAAATAAATTCCAGATGGATTAAACTATAAAAGTATATTGGAAAATGGGAGAATCTGAAAAATAGTTTGCAGAATTCAAAAGGCTTTTCTAAATATAAAAAAACCTACACTGGAACAGAACAGACACGTAATGATGTAAAAATTAAATAATTTTCATGGCAGAAAATATCATAAATGGAGTCAAATGACTAAAAACAAAGTATTCTACACGAATGACAATAAAAGACTGGACCTGACTGCCGCAGATCAATGTGGGAAAGCCCAAAACCCAACGGAAAAACAACACACACGAAGGGGCAGCTCTAAGAAGGCAGCGTCTCTTCGTGGCTTCTCCCTTCCCAGCCGTGGTCCACCTGCGTTTCCCCTCAGCCCCTTCTCTGCAGACGGTCACTGCTGCCCCCCCGCCCCCCCCACCACACACCATTTCACGCGGTCAGGGCTCTACGCAGAGGGAATGACACCGTGCCCCAGCTCTTATTTACTGTTATTTCTTCGGAGTCGTCAACCTTCTCTCCTGAGGTCACAGACGCTCTTAAGAGGTGAGGCTAGTCCTGAGACACTTCATAGTAAGTCTCTGTCACTACTGTAAATGGAATTTTTTGGACACTTTCTAGCCAGTCGCTCACTTACTCCCGGTAAAGACGGCTGTTGAGGTTTGTACGTCACTCTTGCAACTGGCAACCTTGCTGAGTTTATTACTTGTTCTAAGGGGTGTGTACTGTTTCATTTTATACCTGAGTGGATTTCTAGATGTGTGAGTCACTCACCCATAGCACAAATATTGAGTACTTGCAAGTGACAGGTAGCATTCTAGGTGCCGAGAGACAGGAGTGAAAACTGACAAAACCCCAACTTACACCATGGACATCGTAGCTGGGGAGAACCAAGCAATAAGCAGTCGGTTACAGAGAAACAAAGCAGGGTCAGGGATGGCGGGGGTGGGGGTGGTGGAGGGTGGGGGTGGCGGGAGGCTGAGCAACGGCCAACAAAACCCTGTGCCTCCCATTTCTGATTCTCCCCAGCAGAACTGGCTCTGGGCCCCACTGGGAGTGAGGGTGAGGGCTCTCCTGCCCTTGACTCTAGGGAAGGAGCCTGTTTCCCATTCACGATGAGGGACGCCGGGGCTTTGGGCGCACGAACTCTAACACGTTAAAGAAGTTCCTCTCCAATCCCTGTGGCTAAGAGTTTCAATGACAAATGGGTGTTGAACGTCGTCATCAAAAGCTTCTTCATCAACTGAAGCCACAGGCTCTTCTCCCTAATCTATTCCTGAGATGAGGCAAGCTGACAGCCTCTCAGTGTGCTGACCGGCCCGCCGTCCCTGGGCTGGGGCCCGCCAGCCCTCGTGTTTTGAAAGCAGTGCATGGGATCAGTTAGCTTTACTGTGTACAAGATCCTCACATCTACTGTCAAACTACAGACAGGTTTTCCTGGACAGTGCTGACTTTTGTACCTTGGGCTGATCTCCAAAGGTATCTGTATGGGGCAGAAATTAGAAGGTGGATAGAACTCAACCTCAGAGCCAGGTGGGCCTGTGTCTGTTTGAAGGAAGGAAGGTCTTGGAAGACTATTTCCGTTTATTTGTTGGTTTAGTTGAGATCTCTGTTGCTTCTCCTGCCAGTTTTGACTTTAATTTTTTTTTAACAATCTATCCATTTCACCATTTTTTAAGTTCACTACCATCATTCAGTCTCTCCACTGCATGCCTCCCCTCCCCCTGGCTGGGAGGGGCTGCGGGCGGGGGTGCAAGGAAGGAGACCCACATCTCTCCCCTCTGCTCTCCATGGGCAGAACTCCCCCCCACCACTCCCCCCACCCGCCTCTGCATTCCTGTGACTTCCACACCTCCCCTCCCACCTGGAGAGAGGAGACGCACAGCAGATGGGGCTCCTGAAGCCTCTGCTCCGGCATTTTCCAGGACCCTCCCCTTGCAGGTTTCCCTCTGCAGGCTCCGTCCAAGGCAGCCCCAGCTGGCCTCGGGGACTAACAGCCAGTGCAGATGCCCCCGGAACATCTCGGGCCTCCCTTGCCCTGGTCCCCAACCACCCCCCACCATGGGTCCTCACCACGGGGAGGAGCTTCATGCTGGGGCTCCCTTCTCACCTAGGGCCGCACCCACGACTCAGGGGACACCTTGCTTCAGCACTACTAGGCTGGACCAACCATCTGGCTCTTGCTCCCTGCAAGTCTCAGCAGACCAGGACCTGCCCCTGCCACACCAGCGCCCCTGCTGCCAGCGCCTCACCCCCAGCATGCCCTCCTGTACCCGCCCCAGGAGCCCCAGGCTGCCCCATCTCAGGCTCCCCCCCAGTCCTGAGCCCCCCGTCCTTTCCCAGGCGCCTCCTAATCCCGTCCCTGTCGCCCCCCCCAGTCCTGTCCTTGGTGCCCCCCGTCCCGTCCCCGGCGCCCCCCCAGTCCCGTCCCCAGCGCATCCTACCTGAGCGTGCAGAGCAGCCAGCAGTGTGTCCAGCTGGGCCTCCAGCGTGCGGCTTCCCACACTCACCGCAGCCTCAAGGATCTGGCCCAGGCTCTGTTCAAGAGAGGGAGGAGCATGGCCATCAGGCCTGTGTCAAGCCCCCACCCCCACGTCCTGGCCACAACGACCCCACCTCAGGGCTCAAATAAGGAATCCCTACCTCCACGTCAAGAATAGAGACAGGAGGAGAAGGCTCAGGATGGAGGGCACAGACTTGGGGTAAGGCCAAGGTGAAGGTCCCCTGGGCAGGGCAGGGCATCGAGAAGACACATGACTGGGCCCCACCCACCGCTAAACCTAACAGCACTCTGAGCTCCCCTCCCACTCGAGCCAGGTGGGGACTGGTCAGTGGACAGAGCTCTGCACAGGCCGCAGCGGGCAGAGGCGCACCTTGGACACGTGGAAGGTCTCGGCGTGCTTCCTGTAGAGGGCCAGGACCCCCGGCAGGAGCTTGGGGAGCTGCTCCTCCAGCCGCTCACTGGGCAGCAGGTGGCTCATGGGCCCCAGGGCCTCCACCACGGCGAGCCGGAGCTGCGAGGGAACGGCAACATGGTGCTCCCGTCCAAGCCGGCACGGTGACGCTGAGAGTGGCCCCAGTGGAGAGGCAGAGGCCTCACGAGAACCCAGGATCCGAATGAGGAGACCCTGGGCACCACATGCCCAGGGGGTCCGAAAGGGGTCCAAAGGCAGAGAGGTCAGAGTGACCATGGCCAGGGTCTGGACAGTGGCCGGGCCAGAGAGACCGTGAAGGAAGAGCCCACAGGGGACTCATCACACCTCAGCTCAGCCCAGCACTCGGGGCGACTTGGCAGCCTCTAGGCGGAGCGGAGCCAGGGGCAAAAAATAGGCCAAATTCTGTGAAGACCTTCAGAAGGCCGCCGCCACTCCCTGATGAAGCCAGTGCTGGGGGGACACAGACGGGGGACTGGGAAGTGTAGATGGCTGTCTCCATCCCCCTCTGCTCAGACCCCTCCCCAAAAGCCTGCAGAAGAGGCTCGGGCCTTGTGAATGTTGTCGAGCTCGGGGGTGGGAGGGAGCGGCCAGCGAGCCGAGACCCAGGGTTTCCAGCTCCAAGGAGCCTGTACCTTGGCCTCACGGCTCTGCAGCCAGTGGTTGAAGAGGATGTCGTAGGCACTGAAGATGTCAGCGGCAAAGGTGTCCCTCCTGACCGTGGGGTCTGGGGCCTGGTCCCGGCTGGCCAGGTATTCCAGGGCGCTCTCGCTGAAGTTCTGCAGGGCTGCCACAGCGGTGTGGCCGTGACACATCTGCACCGCTGCCCCTTCCAACCCCTCGCCGCCTGCAGGACACCCCCCCTTCCTGGGCTGGGGCTCCGGAACTTTGTGGGGGCAGAGGGGCCCCCCACATCCGTGTCCTTCCCACACCTCAGAACCGGACCTTTTCTGGGAACAAGGGTCTCTGTAGGTCTAACTACATAAGACGTGATCGTGGGGGGAGGGCGGGCCGTGAATCCGACACGACTGACTGGAGAGAACACACCGGCACACAGAGAGGACGGCAGAGTGACACAGGGCACAGGCAGGGGAGGGACAGAGAACAGAGCCTCCCTCTGAGCCCCCAGGAAGGGCTCTGAGTGACACCTTGATCCGTAAGAATACATTTTTTTTCTCAAGATTTTAAGTAATCTCTACATCCAACATCAGGCTCGAACTTACAACCTTGAGCTCAAGAGTCGCTTGTTCCGCCGACTAAGCGGGCCAGGCGCCCTGCACTTCTCTTATGCGCCCAATCTGTGGGACTCTAACAGCCACCGTAAGGTTCACGGCGCCCACCACGAGGCAGACCTCACCCTTCGCACACAGACACGAACACCACACAGTTTGCCAGGGTCGCTGTGCCCAGAAGCCCTGGGTGCAGGGGGCTGGGAGGGCACTGGAGGTGGAGGGTGTCAGGGTGGGGCGGGGTAGGCCTAGACAGTGGTGTCCACGAAAGTGGCTTCACTTGGGGACACGCAGGTGTTCAGGAAAACAGGGCACAAATGAAGACCTATAAATGGTAAGCAAGGGCTGAACCCGGGGTCAAGGGAGAGGATGGGGACTAGAGCAGAGAGGCCGAGGCCAGACCCCTGTCACGCAGCCCCACGAAGGGCCAGGTCGCAGAGGAGCTGGCGAGGGGGCTGCAGCAGCCCCTGCCCAGCACAGCTCTCACCCGGCTCTCACCAAGGCTAACTTCTCAGCCTGGGCTCCCCAGCCCAACAGAGAGAATAAGCGCGACCCCTATGAGTACGTGAGAGCAATCAGCTACAAGTTCCCAAGAAACAGGATTTAAAGAAAAAATTTTCTGAGGAAGAGTTCACATGTGTACAAGTGCGTGAGTGAGTGGGGGAGGGGGCAGGGAGAGATGGGGAGAGAGTCCAGGCAGGCCACACACTCACTGCAGAGCCAGATGCGGGGCTCAGTCCCACGACCCTGGGATCGGACCTGAGCCGACTGAGCCACCAGGCACCCCAAGGACTCTGAGAAGAAAACCACCTCCCTGAGCACTTCTGCGCCACCGGCCGCCCTTCTGCTCAGGAGGGGCTCTTCGAGGGTCCAGCCCAGGCCGACTCTGGCCCCATAGAGCACGAGGAGTCCTCACGTCCCACCTGCCACACGGCCGCTGGCCCTGGAGAAGGGACAGAGCCCGGCCCTCCGACCTCCTTGAGCTCTGTAACCAGGAGGCTGCTCAAAGGGACCAGCGTTTCTTGACACCTTGTAGCCAGTGTTTCAGGAAAATAGGCCGCTCCGTTGCCGGAAGCAGGAAGCAACCTCCCCAGGTTGTTACTAGGTTTTTACTTTCCAATCAGTTATGCGGCACAGCTAGGGCAGAGCGCGCTCTCACACGCCCGCCCCCACCTCAAGCCCCCCTCCTGCAGAAGCCGCTCGCTGTCTCCCTCCTGCTAACAAGGCTCGCTTCACACCAGCGTCGTTTCCCTTGGAGTCTTGCTGCTTCTCCAGGCAGGGGTCACTGATCAACCGCCATCTCCCCCCGGCACCCTGGGTCTCCCCTGGCCACAGCCGCCGGGGCCACGCCACTCAGACAGCCCCAGGCAGGTTCCGGCCAGAGGAGAAGGCCGGCCCACTCCTCCGTGTGCTCCCGGACCATTTTCCCCACGAAAGCGTCCTGGTGCGGCAGCTGGGAGGCCCCGTCCCTCCGGAACCCGCAGCTCCAGGACGTCTGCCACCTGACTGCGGCCACACGGGCTGGCCGGCCAGGCCTTCCTCCTTTGCCTCCTACTTTCCATGTTCATATCTTCGCTCCCCTTTTATGGGACTTCCTCGGCCTTCTCTTCCATTCTCGCTGCCGTCTGTCGTCAGCCTCTGGCCCCGAGAAGCTCAGCGGAGCTCCCTGAACGCAGACGCTCCGCGGCAACATGCCCCGCTCGCACCTCACCCCCCGGGGGGCCATCACGCCTGGTCTTTCCTGCCGTTTTCTTCTCCCCGGACCATCTGCCCGCCTGGGGCTCGGGGCTCTGTTCACGCTGCTGCCGTGTTGCTCTCGGAGACGGGCAGCCGTCCAGGGCTGCCATCAGCGCCACGCGGTGCGGGCAGGCTGGCCGCGCACCGGCTCCCTGGGGACGCCGTCTCCAGCTCTGGGTGTCCGGCTCTTCTCCCACCGGACGCAGTGTCTGCAGACTCAGCCGCTGAGGACCTTGGAGCACACACTCCGGTTCGTGGCCAGGGCCGGTGGGCACAGGAGTCCTCAGCCCGCGCGCTCTCTCCTCCGATGGCAGGCCAAAGTGTCCGTCCGCGGAGAGCAGCACACGCCCCGCAGAGAGGACGACCCGCGCAGAGTGACCGCTGCTCACACACGACAGACATGGATGCGGTAAAAACCATCAGTGGCGTCAGAGGGGTCGGTTCGGCACCACGGGCCGGCCTCCTGCGCGGGGCCTCGGCGGCTGCGGGGACAGAGCCACGTCCTTCCTGAGGAGCCGCGCGGGGCAGACAGGGACGGAGCCCTCAGCTGTGACGTGGAATCTTCTTGTTCCCCCTCCAGCCCGGATGTGCTGTCCTCAGCGACTCCCGGCTCCCCTTTCCAGGACCTGCAAGCTCGCACCCAAGCCTCGCACCCCTCGCCCCATAGGGCCTGGCCCTTCTGGGTCCTGCTCCCAGTCCAGCCCAGGGGGAATTCCTGGCTCAGCTGTCCCAGGATCCTGAGCAAAATTCTCTTTTTACCCAAAACCAGGTCAGGGAGGATTTCTACAGTTTAACCTGGGGGTCTGCCACCACCTGCGGGGGGAGGAGCGCGTGAGAAGACAGGAAGGAGGCCGCGCCAGGGACAAGGGACGTGGGAACAAGGGATCACAGGACGGCCGGCAGGAGCTGGAGCCCCTCCCCAGAGCCCCAGGACCCGAGGCCACCGTGAGCAGGGTGGGCGAGGGCCCCAGACCCCAGTCCGCTGCTGTGAAAGGCCCCAGGTGCCCCCAGTACATAGCAGGGAGAGCAGGCAGGCCAACAAATAGCCGACAAGCCCTCACCTGAGCTCCGGGTGCCCCGAACCTGTCCTGTCCCCACACCCGTCCCTCAACGAGGACCCTCCTAACCAGAGTCCTGCTCCCCATCCCCCGCCTTCCCCGATGCCGGAGTTGCTGGCCTTTCAGAGGAAGCCACGCTACGAGGCACCTTCCTACGAGGCACCCAGCCACCCGCAGCACCTTCCTTGCTTCCCCTCCCAACAGCAACGCCTCCCTTTTCTCTAAGGGCCCAACCGTGAGGAGCCATCCCCCCGCCCCCCAGCCCCGCACGGTGCACAGCCCCCGCACTGAGGCACCGCCCTCTGGGTGCACACAGGGCAGTAGACATGGGAGGGAGGGGAGTAAAGACACCTTTCAGAGATGCCCAACACGGAGCCGGGAAAGACACAGGAAGTCTCTGCGGCTTTGTCTCTTCCCGACCCCCCAGAAGTGTCCGAGCCTCGGGGGGCTGCACCATGGTCTGCAGTCATGCTAGGCCCTCCTCCACAGCCTAGAGAACTCAGGACCCTCCCCAAACCCAAGTGGTGGGAGGCAGCACCCAGACCCTGCCCCAGGACCCCATCTTACCAGAGCAGAAGACCACCCTCATCGTATCGTGCTTGGCCATGCCCAGCATGGGCAACATGGTGCTCAGGATGGGTGTCAGGAAGGGCACCATGCCGAACACTGCAAAAGGGGGGGGCGGTGTCAGGGAGCCTCTGCCTGGCCCGGCCTCGGTGCACCTGCCCCGTGCCCTGGGGAGAGGCACAGGGTCCCGGGGCTGTGTGGGCAAGCGGTGGAGAGGCCCTCCCAACTCGCTCCGGAACGCCGGTGGGGACAGGCCACGCGCTGCCTACCGTTGGAGGCCGCGAGGTTGGCAAGGGTCTGCACGACGAAGTAGTGCGGCAGGGCCCCCGGCTGGAACTTGCTCAGCACCTCCTCCATCACCTTGCCGATGAACTGCTTCCCAACAGCCACCAGGACGTTGCTCGCAGCCTGCTGCCAGTCACACACCAATTCCTGTACCCACCCCACCCCCGCCAAAACATGCACTGATGTCCTGATCAAACAAAGGACACAGGGACTTCACCCTGAAAGTGCCCAAGAGGCAACAACGAGACAGTGTGCCCTGTTGTCAGGCTCCCGGTGAGCGCGCGCGAGAGAACTCTCCCAAGGCCCTCCCGCCCAGGAACAACACCTGCCACCCCCACCCGCAGGGAAAGGAAGTGCTTTCCTGAGCCCGGCACCGCCCTGCACGCTGCCCTGAGAGCTGCGCAAGTCTTTCTCCGCTTCAGCTCCACCTCTAAACTTACGGGTGGGCCTCCCCACCCCAGCAGGGCAGCCACGTTCCTGATGTGCTTGGGCAAAAGTCCTAGGGAAGGAGCTCCCTCCCCAAGCAGGCAGGTGCCCCCCATACCTTCACCCTGGTCATCTCGCTGGAGGCCAAGAAGATGACAGCCCTGGCCATGTCCTTGTCCAGCTCACTGAGGTGACTGCTCACAACCGTCTCCATGGCCCTCAGGATCATCGTCCGGTAAGGATGTGCCAACTGAGCAGAGAAACCAATGAGGAAGGTCCTGGAAGGTGAGCCCATGCGCTCTGGCAACCTACTGACACCTCCTGCTTTCTCTATAGGGCCGCCTCAAATCACAGTCACCCCTGGCTGCGCCAGCATGGGAGGACAGGGGCACACCTGGCCATCCATGTTGCCCCCAGGCTCTCAGGACCTCGCACGGGAAAGGACTGTGAGAAGCAGGCCTGGGCACGGGATCTCAGCAGGGGCCAAGTGTCTGTGCAAGATCCGTGGTGAGCAGATGGTGCTGGGGCCGGGGTCTCCTGGCCTGAAGCTCTCCTGCCCCGAGGGGTCCTATCACAGCAGAGTCCTCTGCCACCAGGAAGTTCTGGGGCTCCCCAGTGAGACCCGTCAGGGGAGACAGCTTGGCAGGCCCTGTCCTCACTGGGGCGTGGCCCGCCTCCAGGGCACCTTGTCTGTCACACCCCTCCCCAAGCTTCTGCACTCGCCTCAAAGTGCAGAGGCTGGAATGTAAAATGACAGCACTGCCCGCCCTGTCCTACGCTCTCTCCCCTGCTCTCTCTCTCTCTCCAGACACAGTCCTCATCGGCACGCGGCAGCTGTGACCCCACCCGGCACTCATCCTCACCTTAACTGAGGATGTGCGCGGACGCCTGGTCGGGGGGAGGGGTTCAGGGCAAGGAAGCCAAGGCGCCTCAGTGCGAGGACAGACTGCAGCAGAGGTGAGGTGAGCAGAGCACAGCGCAGCCAAGGGAGAGGCTCTGGCAGGCCAGGAGCCCCAGGGCACTCAGAGAGCCTAGGGGAGGGCAAGTAACACGCAGGCGGCAGGAAGGACCAAACTGGCCTTTCTGTGAGGACCTCCCGCCCCCAGGAATGGAGCATCCAGGTGGAGGGGGGCCCGGCACGCTCTCCAGCAGGTGGTGCCCAGGTGTGCGCTGGGACGGGACTGAGCCTGGGCGACCAGAGGAAAGGTGGCCAGAAAGAAAGGCAACTTGGGCTGGTGGAGGGAGCTCTGTAAAAGCAGGGGCTCCTCCCACGGAGGCCACAGCGGCCTCCTGCACCGCGGGGCTCATTGATGGATGCAGTTTTTATTCCTGAGAAGAGCCGACTCAGGTGGGAAGCAGCTCTCGATTGACTAACAGATCACATGAAACCTGCTGCGGTCTCCTTGGGGAAAGCTCCAGGTTTAGGTTTTGTTCCCTGGGTAAGAAATTGTGTGAAAATTCACTTGACTGTATACACGAAGGTTTATTCCTGGGCTCTTGATTCTTTTCCATTCATCCCTACGCCCATCCCTACCCGGTCTCTACTCCGTCCCTACCCAGTCCCTATGCCTGTCTTTACACCCGTCCCTACAGCCACCTCTCTGCTGGTCTCCACCCCAGTGCTTGTCCCAGTGGCTCAGCAGTAAGTCTCGAAGAGTCAACAAGTCCCCAGCTTTGCCATTTTCAAGGCTGCCTTGGCTATTCAGGGTCCCTTGAGATTTTGTGTGACTTTTAGGATGGCTTTTTCTATTTCTGCAAAAACCATCCCTGAGACTTTGATAGGGATTGCAACAGTTGCTTATTTTTATTTTTATTTAAAAAAAAAGTTTTTATTAATTTCTGAGACAGCATGAGAAGGGGAGGGTCAGAGAGAGGGAGACACAGAATCCAGAACAGGCTTCTTGTGCTTGCAGCTCAGAGCCTGACACAGGGCTCAAACCCACGAACCGTGAGATCATGGCCTGAGCCGAAGCCAGACGCTTAACCGACTGAGCCCCCCAGGCGCCCCTGCTGCTTATTTTTAAAGAGAAGGGTTTTCCACTTCCATTTTACATGGCTCCTAAAGTCCAACAGGCAGAACACTAGAAGATGCAGCTGGCTTCCCGCAGGGATGCTCCAGGGCACGCAGTGATAAGGCCACAGCCCTGTCATCTGAGCACCGGGGGAAGTGCATGGGACAGCCCAGACTGCTCAGAGCGGGCGTGGGAGAGCTCCGCTCCACAGTCTGATGTGCTGGCACGCTGCCAAGGAGCCCGCCATTCTGCCCTTCCCCCCAGAACTGACCGATTCTGCCCAGGAGACTGACCTGCACTGTGTCACCTGCAGGACGGGCCTCCACCGTGGACGCCAAGGTCAGACAGTCACCACGCGGCCCCAGTGCACGTGTGACTACCACCACCCATCTAAGGTCCCGCCTGGGTCAGTGAAGGAGTCTACTCACTGCTGGAGAACACTCAGGAGGACAGAACTTCCCACTGAATATGCTTTTACCACAAACATGCAAACGTGAAGGCAGAGCTTTCTTCTTAAAGTGGCGAGAAACCAAAAAGGCCGGGAGAGCGCAAACTCGTGGACGACCCAGAAAATGGTGAGCACGGAGCGCACGGCATCTCACTGAGGGTCGCCAGCGGTCACAGAGGCTCTCAGCCACCTTTAGTGAGTCTTCTCCAGGGACACCAGATGACGGAGATTGGGGCCATGTCCTCTAGCAGCCAGGGCGGCCCCGTCTTCTCTGACCACGAGACAGCAGTCCAGGGCATCACCGCGGTGAAGCCACCCCGCTGCACCTGAAGGGCCCTGACGCCACACATGGCAGCAGCGCGAGGCGCCGCGCAGCCACGGAGGAGCCACAGTGGACACGCCCTCCCCACTCGCGCTCTGAACGGTCCCCACCAGCAGCCCTAATGCACATGCAAACATAAAAGCCAGAACAGCGAAAAGAGCCAAAGCAGGATGGAGAGCCCTGGTCACGAGGGGTCACAGAGCTGCAGTACCAGCAGTGGGACCGAGCTAACGCCCCAGGAGATGGCGGCTGACAGATGGGAGGCATCAACTCCCGTGGTACAGAGATCCCTTTTTCCATCTCCAGGCATTAGCGCAAACAGAAACAAAAATGGTCTTTTAAAGCTGTTAAGAGTGTCTTCCCCTTCCGGGAAGGGCCCAGAGCACACCGAGAACACCTAGAACCGCACACAATGACTTCAGACCCAGGGGGCGGCAGCAACCCGGCCGCGTCCCTGCAGGGCTGCCCTGGGCTCAGCCCGCACGTGGGTCCCTGGGTCCCGTGGTCTGAGGGAGGGGAGCGCTGGAGAGGGTGGGGCTCCGAGGGCAGCCCCCCCTCAAGCCACACCCTCCACCTGTCTCACAGCGCTCCTCCACCTGCCCCTTACTGTCCCTGACGGCAAGCAGCCTGCTCTCTCTCCCTTGGTGGACAGTAGAGATGAACGGCTGTCTGTTCTCCAGCCAGCGAGTGAGTGCGGACAGCAACACGGCCTGGGCATGTGAGCAGCTGGGAGCTGTGCTGCTGACCGCCAGCCGTGCCCGCCCGGTCCCCCCCCGCCCCCCTGCCACGGGGACTCGCCACAGGACACAAGTCGAGGCAGTTCATCTGTCCTGGAAATGCCCCATGTCGAGGGAAGTTGGACTGGAAGGTGTGGCTCCCCACCCACAGAAACCAGGCTCCCCAGCTTTGGAGCCACCCTCCCCTCCCCTACAGCCCCCCCCCCCACGCCAGCCACGGGCAGGGAATACCTTCTCGTGCTGCCACAGGTGCTCCTCACAGGCGCTGAGCACCTCCGCTGGCTGCGCCTCTCCAAGGGCACACAGGGCGCCACACACCTGCTCCTGCACCAGAGGCTCCCTGTCGGTGATGGCCTCCAGCAGGATGGCAGTCAGCTCTGCGGGACAAAGCCCGGCGCGTGCTCAGCCCCGGCCGACCCACCTGCCGCCGCCTCGGCCCGTGAGCCGCGGGACGCTTGCCCTTCCCCTCCCGTCCCCCCGACTCCTGCACATTCCCGCTGCCCCGGCCATCCCAGCCCCCCACCCCGGCCTGCACCGCCTGGCCGCCCTGCACACCTCAGCCGCACACACCGAGACACTCTTGCACACACAATGCCTCCCTCCATCCCGCTCGCCGGGGTCTCTGTTTGGGACCCACCGGCCACCTGCTCCGAGGGCACTCTGGCTAACCCCATCCTGACCTTCCGTCCCAGGCTGTGTTTGCTTTGTGTCCCCTGCCCCACTGGACCGTGGCTGCTGGGACAGGCAGGTGTTACAGACTCAGGGAGGTGGGGGGTTGTCCCCAGATGGCCATCTGCCCCATGCTGGGTGGCACCCGAGTTCCACCACTTGCTCCCAAAGACAGCTCTGCAGCACCCCACCTCCCCTGTTGGCCAGCACCTTACGCTCAGAGCCAGACCGCCCCTGCTCATGCCCCCTGGACAGGACCCTGCCATCCTCGGGGTCTCCAGAGCTCCGGGCGCGGTGCCTGCACGTGGCGCTGACGGATCCTCGCTCCTGGGGATGGAGCTATGTGGGGCAAGGATGCCTCTCCCCTTGCCTCGGCCAACTCCTGGCCCTGGGGGCAGAGCCAGGCCGGCAGCCAGGGTGGCTGCTGGACCCAGGTTTTGTGCAGAAAGGGGCGGAGGCGCGGGGCCCCGCTGCACGGAGCACAAAGCCCCCTCTGCCCGACAAGCATCACTCCCCACACGGTGAGCCTGCAGCCCTCTTGGCCCCTGATCCAGCATCTACACAGACAATGGCTTCGTTTTCTTTTTTTTTCCGAGAGCTTAGAGAGAACACACTCATGCCACGCGACGGTCCTTCCTGTTCACTCAACTCCGTGAGCCCGGCTGCATCCTGAACCCCAAAGCTAGTGGGAACCCCGCCGTCCTGCGCCCCTGCCCGCAGCCCCACCCCCACCCCAGGCCGCACACTCACTCTTTGCGTAGGACTCCGTCATCTCGGCCACCTCAGCGGTGTGAGCACGGGCGGCTGCTTCTCAAACCTGGAGTAAAACCACATTCAGATCATAAGCCTCCTGGGCTTACAGGCCTTCACTGTGTTTGCATAAAACATGACTTCAGGGGCACCTGGGTGGTCCTGTTGGTTAAGCGGCTGACTCTTGATGTTGGCTCAGGTCATGATCTCACGATCTATGGGATCGAACCCCTCATCGGGCTCTGTGCTGACAGCGCTGAGCCTGCTTGGGATTCTCTCTCTCTTTCTCTCTCTGACCTTCCCCTGGTTATGTACCCTCTCCCTCTCTGTCTCAAGTATAAATAAACTTTAAAAAGTATGCGTAAAACATGATGTCAGTGCCTCCTCAGGAGGGAGCCATCTGGCACATGGCCTCCCTCCAGTCTCCAGCTCTCCTCTGCGGCACATGGCAGCCCTGCTGGGATGATGTCAGCCCACACAGCAATGGGGACGGGGACAGGGCAGGTGCGCTCCCTGCCTCTGCCAACAGCATCTTCCTTTGCTCTGTAAACAAGAGGGGGCGCACATGAAGCTGGCAGCACCCGCAGTCCATGCACAGCAGGGAGACCTGTCCCTGAGAGCCAAGAGCAAGGCTGCTCACTGCAGGCTCAAGACACCCCGTGCCTGAGAATATTAGCACAATAAGAGCCTGCACGGGCAGCATAGGGATCTGGCGGGGTCCCCAGCAGCGGAAACCAACCATCCAAACAGCCCCTGGCATTTGAGATGTGGCTTTCACAGACCGCACACCTTGAGGCAGCCCCGGCAGCAGATGGGCCCAAAGAATAAAGTGCATCAGGGGGCAGGTGCCTCTGCCTCTTCAGCGCACAGTCCCACGCTCGGACCTACGTCACAGTCTGCGAGGTCTGATAAGGTCAGAGGGACCTCAGGCCCTCAGCGCAGTAGCTGACGGCTTTCTAACACTGGCATCTTCTGTGCGCTGGCAATCCCACCTCCCTTCGATGGATCACCTCCATCTTGGACCCTCTCTCATCACCTCTCATCCATAAAAGTACAGAGATAATAGAGGAGAGTTGCCATGACCTCTCCTGACCAAGAAGACACTCGTCTGGCTATGGACACACAGGAAGGAAGGAAGCCAAGTGAGAACCACGCGTGAGTGGTGGCAGAATTATGAGTGTGTGAGAACACTATGCAAGTTCAGGAATGCAGACTGGCCCCAGGCAGGCATCTCTCCCACCAAAACCTCAATGAAATGACAGAAAAGATGCAAATGCTTGCTTTCGTTTTTTAAAGAGATTTTATTTTTAAAAAATTTTTAATGTGTATTTATTTTGAGAGAGAGAGAGACAGTCAGAGTGTGAGTGGGGGAGGGCAGAGAGAGAGGGAGACACAGAATCTGAAGCAGCTCCAGGCTCTGAGCTGTCAGCACAGAGCCCGAGGCGGGGCACGAACCCACGAACAGTAAGATCATGAAGTCGGATGCTTAACCGGCTGAGCCACCCAGGCATCCCAAAAAAGATTTTATTTTTAAGTAATCTCTACACCCAACATGAGGCTCAAACTCACAACCCCAAGATCAAGAGTCACATGCTCCACCAACTGAGCCGGCCAGGTGCCCCAAAGATGCAAGTTTTAAAAAGCATAAATCGACAAGAGCACTAGAAAACAAGATCAAATTAGCAGACCAGAAATTTCCAGGAATCCCAGGCAGAGAGAAAGCAGAAGGAGAAGACGCTGGTTCAAAGATGCTGGCATCAGCCAGGTGTTCCCCCTTTCTTCCTGGAAAGCATCTACAGTAACAAGGAAAACAAGAAATAGAAACACACATTTCATTTGTGGCAGAGCAAGAAGGCAGCAAACATCCCCAAACCCCAAAGGATGAAGGGCTAAAAAGTGGCAGCCGTCAGACAGGGTATGAAGTACGCTGGCGGCAGGTTCCAGAAAGAGTCCAAAGATACTTCTCAAAGGTGGTGGCCACACATGCTCAGACAGAAGCCAAATCCTGATGCCTAGACCTGGTCTGCATCTACAAGGCAAGTGGCTGTCCCCCGAGGGGACGCGGCTGCCTGTCTCCACTACCTGGGAACAAACAGGGTTAAAGCAACTCAAATTCCACCAAGTTCGGAACACTCTTCCTGCAAGTGCAAAAGGCCACGTGCACCCAACTCAACAGGCCAATTTGCTCTCCTGACCAAAACAACTAACAAGCTGCACAAAACACATGAAACTGTAGTTCTCAGGGTAACAGGCGCCAGGAAACGAAGGACAAGAGCCCTGCAGTCACTCAGGCTCACGGCCCGGAGGGCGCGTCCAGGCTGAGGAGGACTCACCAGCGCCCAGCAACAGCCCTGAGTTGAGACAGACTGGGGGTATCTTGGGGGACTAGGTCCTGCCAGCTTGTAGACTCTACTACCAGAGACCTGCAGAGGGTCCTTGGTCACTCTGGGGACTTACTGGTCAGTGCTGAGAAGCAGAGTAATGTCCCCAAAGATGCCTACGCCCGGAACCCGTGAATATGTTACCTTACATGTCAAAAGGGACTCGGCAGCTGGGATTATGGGCACAGACCCCGAGGTGGGGGGACTGCCCTGGCTCATGGGGGTGAGACTACCCAAAGCATGTAGTCCTCAAACTGCAGAGAACCCTTCCCAGCTGGGTCCCAGGACATGGAAGGGGTGGGGAGGAGAAATTCGAAGTGTGAGAAGGACTCCGCCCACCCTGGCTGCCTTTAAAGACAGAGGAAGGAGGCTCTGGACCACGTGATTCGGGTGGCATCTAGAAGCCAGAGGTGTCCCTTAGTGTACAGCCGGCAAGGAAACAGGGACTTCAGTCCTACAGCCACAATGAACCAATTCTGCCAACAACGTGGAAGCAGGAAACAGAGTCTCTCCGGAGACCCCGGCAAGGGGCACAGCCCTGCCGACTCTAGACGAAAGTCCTCGAGAACCCTAGGGTTATGAATAGATATCACTGAAGGCACGGAGTTCATGGTAATTTATTAGAGCAGCAATAGAAAACTAATTCGAGCACCATGTTTGAGAAAAAACTACCAAAGCCAGGGAAAGAACTACCTGAAAAGATTAGCAGCAACAACCCCCAGAACTCACAACAGACCGGGATGGGGCTGTTCCCAGCAGCCAGGGGGGAAAACATCAAAATTCACAGAGTACTGGGAAGAGCATTCAAAAGGGTTTTGTCTTGATAAAAAAAAATAAAATAAAATTAGCCACAGGCTGAACCCTGTCTGGTCTCACCTAACAAAGTTGAAAGTAAGACCTGAAGGGGCCATCTGGGTGGCTCAGCCAGTTAAGCATCTGACTCTTGATGTTGGCTCAGGCCAGGATCCCACGGTACAGATCTAGCTCCACATCGGGCTCCGTGCTAACAGCGTGCAGCCTGCTTGGGATTCTCTCTCCCTCTCTCTTTGCTCCTCCCAGGTGCACACACCCTTGGTCTCAAAATAAATAGCCTTTTTTTTTTTTTTTTTTTAAAGTTTAAAAGTAATACCTGGGTGGCTCAGTCAGTTGAGCATCCAACTTCAGCTTATGCTTCGTGAGTCTGAGCCCCACATCGGGCTCTCTGCCGTCAGCTTGGAGCCCACTTCAGATCCTCTGTCTCCCTTTCTCTCTGCCCCTCCCCAGCTCAAGCTTGCTCTCTATATATGTCTTTCTCTCTCAAAAAATAAATAAATATTAAAAAAAAAGTAAGACCTGAAAAGATAAAATTGTTCTCGAGTTACCTACATCTCAGCAAAGTTCAAGAATAATACTAGGAGCACAAAAATACCTATCACCAACAAGGTAAAAATAACAATGTCTGACATCCAATAAAAAATTACCTAGCATGCAAAGAGGAAAAAAACAACAACAACCCACAATGAGAATGAATCAATCAATACAAACTGATCTAGAAATGGTGCAGAAGAATCAGTAGACAAGGATGGTTAGACAGTTATTCTAACTGTATTTCACAAGAAGCCACAGGAAAGACCGCATATGTTAACATGAAGAGGTTAAAGTAAAAGGGTGGGAAAAGAAAAATGAGGCTGACCCTAGTTATAAGAAAGCTGGGGTAACTATATTAATATTAGAGTAATATGTTAATATGTTACTATAGTAATATATCAAATAATATATTTTAAAATATGTTAAATAACATACTATTTTACTATAGTAATATATTAATATTAGACATAACAATCCTAAACATTTACATGCCTAATAACAGAACTTGAAAACACACAAAGCCAAAGCTAATAGTAATGCAAAATGAAATAGAAATTATAGGAAAGATTTCTCTATAACTGACAAAACAACTCTACAGATAATCAGTGAGGATACAGAAGACTTGAACAACAAATACTGTCAGCCAACTTGACCTAAGTAGTATTTACAGAACCATCCATTCATGAACAGTAAGATATATATTCCTTCCAAAAGCACATGGAATGTTAATCAAGACTGACTATATTCTGGGCAGTAAAACAAATCTCAATAAATTTAAAAAGTTAAAAAATCTCCCCATAGAGGGGCGCCTGGGTGGCTCAGTCAGCTAAGCGTTCACTTCGGTTCAGGTCATGACCTCACGGTTCATGAGTTAGAGTCCTGCATCGGGATCTGCACTGGTGGTGCAGAGCCTGCTTGGGATTCTCTCTCTCCCTCTCTCTCTCTGTCCCTTCCCCACTTGTACCCTCTCTCTCTCTCAAAATAAATAAACTTAAAAAAATAAAAAAGAAATCTTTGCACAAGAAAGCTCTAGATGAAAGGCCTAAATGACGTCCCTGGGGAGTTCTATCAAACATTTAAGGAAGAAATCATACCAACTCTACACAAATTCTTCCAAGAAAATTGAAAATAAGGGAAACCATCCCAACTCTTTTTCTTTTTTTTCTTTTTTTTCCCAACTAATTCTATGAGGCCAGTATTACTCTGATAACAAAAGCATGCAAAGACATTACAAGAAATGAAGACCATAGACCAGTACCCCTCATAGACACAAATGTAAAAATTCTTAACAGTATTACATCAGATCATATCCAATCACATATAAAAAGAGTAACACTTC